TTGTCCAGTCAGGTCGGCAGCCTAACCGTCGGTAAGCTTGTGTTTGGATCCCGTTCTGCTCGATGTGGTAGATCACAAACAATTTGATATCACACAAATTGATCTCAGCATCGTGCGTACGGTATTTTATATTCAGAAAATCCCAAAGTGTCTCTGTGTGGCCGTCCTATGCCACGAGAAACTCCAATCAGGCTCCTATGTCCTCTGCCTTCATGATTGAATGTCCACTTCGTTTGAACAACGAACACAACAATCGAGGACAGCTTTGCAATGAAAAATACAGCTATACTGGAGCTGGAAAAAAGAAGAAAAAAACGTGCTCGGGATAAGACTCGAGTACACGCATACTCTCCCAGCAGGTGAAACGCAAATTTTTGTGAAAAATGCGTGTCGCCGACTGACCAGTAATTTCGCCTGACGTGCAATTGTCGCTTCCCACATCGCAATGTTTGTTACTTGCTTGTCTTAATCGAACTGTCTGAATCGATACTTTCTGTGTTCGGACATTGGTACGACCCTTCATATGCAAGGTCTACTTGTTACTGAAGCCGTGGTGGTCTCGCAGCTCTCTTCCGCACCAAACAATTTCATTGTGCTCAACACTATTTCACCCCCAAGGGCGTATCTTTTTCTGGAGTTCGTGCCGGCCAACATCGTTCGCATGGGCATTTGTCAAGACTGCAAGCTCAGGCATAAGAATCCTCGTATCTCTCCTGATTTAGAAATGCAGGAGTTGACGTTGGCAAGAACAAAGGGTTCTTAACCCTTTGCGTGCTGAGTATGAGTTAACTCGCACTTTATGCATGACCTGATCCACTAAGTACGAGTTAACTCGCAAAAAAACGCGCGATATATCGCAGTGCATAGACCAGTGTACAAACTTCCGTAATGTCGTCAAACATAAACGCATCGCGACAATCAATACACCGTTGGAAAGGTCTTCACCTCATCTTTCCGGGGATATAAAGGTCTTAACCATAGGATAAGAATTCATTGAGCGGCGACAAGATGAACATGGAAATCACGGCCCAGAGTGAACACGAACATTTTTGTTTATGACTTCTTTTTGTTGAGGAGCGTGCCAGGGAATTTCCCTTTGGCACGGCGCATGCATGATGGACATCAAATGAAGCTCTTGGATCTGAGTTTTGCAGCGCAGTTTGAATTGTGAAAATCTGTTGAATTTGGGCAAGAAGCCGAACAAGAATGTGAAATTGAGTTGTTGTGCCGTTCCGAGGCACGGTGGAGTAGTTTGGAGAGGACGTAGAAGTGGCCCTGATGTGTCTTTGGAGCTGAGAGCTGCCAGGATGGATTCGCTTGGTCCTGATCTTTCCAACGGGCCCAGGACGATGAAAATCCATCAAGGTGGAGTGAAATGAGAATAAATTTCGTTCGGAGCTGTGAGTGCATACTCCACCAAAAGAGACAGTGCGCTGGAAAGCCAGTGGATTGGAGAAAAGGGGCTCAGCATGCAAAGGGTTAAATTCCTAAAAAAACGCTAAGTGTGGCGCATGTTGCTGCGAAGGTAGCAGGTCCGAAAACACCAACAAAATCAGCGAAGAGCTTGTCAAGGAAAGAAGGTATGAAACTGCTTACCCTACACCGCTGGAAAGTCTTCAAGGTGAACTTCAAAAATGCTAGTTTGCCGTCCTCGCCTGCCACCTGGAGGCATGAATCACTTGGAAACGAAGTTTCCTGAATTTGAACGCGCGTCTTGTTCAGTGTCTTGTTGTGTGCTGAAGGGTCTACCTCAAACTCTGATGACGGCGTTGACCTCAGCCGCAAGTGCAGCGAAGTGGGAGGCCACAAACTCAAGCTTAGTTCATCGAGAATGCTCTGCCTCAATTTCTTGATTTTTTATAATATTTGAAAAACCCAACCCTTCCCTGCCAGCTATTTGGACTTACGGGGGTCGGCATGGCAAATAATAAGAACAAAAAGACTACAAAATTAATGACGGGAAGTGCCAGCTTCAGCAGCAACTAGAGAGGCAGAAGAAGAGACAGGTGCATGCACAGCGAAAACAGAGCGGCTACCACGCAGGCACATAACACTTGCTCTGAGCAAAGCAAAGCCAAGGCGGCAGCGGATGAATGCCATGACAGCCGAATACGGGGGTTTCTTCGCTTCGAGTGGACAAAAAAAAGAAGAAGAAAACTCTGCGAAGCGACAACTGTGATGACGTGGAGGAAGTATACGTGGTATGACCTGCAGCCATTATTCAGTCAGCAACCTCGCCTCACAGCGATGACTACGGGGGGGGGGGGGGGGGGGGCAGCAGTTGGGGCGCCCTCCCGGTACTTTACACTTGAAGCAAAACCTAGTACTGTAAAACGGGTGATTAGAGCAGTGATACTTCAGTGATTATTGCGAAAGGAGTATCCTCGCTTAAGTTTTGCAGCGCCAATCGAAATTTTGCATGTAGAGTACAATACTAAATAAATAAATAAATTTCACGGTTCGCGTGAGACTCGGCTGGAAGCCGAGTTTTCCGCATCCGCCGTGGGAACGCCACCACCCTCTAGGATCAAAGGCGCAGATGCACCGCCTAAACGGTGGGAGGTGAGTAGATCAGACCCACCACCAAGTGGTCAAAGACCGAAATCCCATTAGCTGCATCCATGTTACCCTCAGCAGGCAGGCATAGTGGGATGGTCTAAGACCATGATTGAGAAACAGAGGGTACCAGGTTCAAGTCCTGCTTGGAAGCGGAAGGAATTTTTCCAGCCGTGCTGCGACCCACAGTTAATTGGGAACTCGTGGCCTGGCAGGAGGGAGTACAATACTGGTGTGTGTAAGGTTTTCCATTTAATGAAGTCGCTGCAGTGGAGCTTGCGCACATTAACCCTTTATTACCGGATTACTTGCACAGCATGCACCAGAATTACGAATTTCAGCACAATTTCCAACTTCACCAGGTCATAACTTTGGTCTCCTTCACTTGATTTTCACAATCTAGGGCTCGTTGGAAAGCTCTTGGTGAGAGCAACGCCATGGTACCAAGCTCCATTATCCAGTCACCACAAATCAGGTGCGGTAACACAGCAAAGTCGTCTCCAAGCCTGATATGCAAGCAAATTCGTCCCATCAACCTCATTCCACTCTCCTTCATCGTAGAACGCTCAAATTTGTTTGAGACGATTCAAACCTCAGCTGACTACGTCATTATCATGTGCTTAGTCACTCAAAGAGCACACGAAAAGGGATTTTCCCCCGAAGTGATCAATCAAAAATTTGAATTATTTGCCGAGGTGAGAACACGGCGCGCAATATCTCTGGCGTCCGACATCATAACTCTTCAGCAATTGTTGCATTGGATAGCTTGGAGTTTCCGCTACCAAATAAACCTTTTGATTATTGAATTCGCACAAGAAATGATGGAGTTACGAAGATATTACTGGCCTGCAGACTTTCGATCATATATTATTACTGTTATGATCGAAAGTCTGCAGGCCGGTATTAAAGGGTTAAGAACTACCGTAATAATTATATGTAGAAGAGAAAAGGACATATGGATACGAGTTAAGAGTAACTCTCCATCACTGTAACATGATACTAACAGTTATATACAGTCAGAAAGTGCAATAACTAGGCACAAAACTGACAGAGTACTGAAACATTCGACGTCCTGACACCTAGCTTCAACACATCTCCGTAGCGCTAACCGACAGCCTTCCAACTTGGAAGGTTCAAGGTTATGGAAAGACCAAAGAGGGGAAGGCAAGCGCAATGAAAACGAGCAAAAGCTACAGTCCCAACGGAACAAAGAATGTCGATTGTTACTGGACGATGACGAGACCAGTACGATATTTGACAAAGCGGTCTAACTACAATTCGAAGCAGCAAAGCAGCACACCACCCAACTTGGGAGGGTCATAAAATATCAAAGATAAGTAAAGAAAGGGAAGCTTTGCGAAAACGAATTGTACAAGCCGAAAGCCAAACTCCTACAGTACTCCTCATGCATGACATTGTGATGGACTAGTTGACTACAAAACAAGTGGTTTCACACGACGTACGTTTCGCCGTATGGTTCGTGACGGCTCATCAGGTGTGCAATTTGAAACTCGGATGTTGAGCCATAAATAAATGTAGAAGAGAAAAGGACATATGGATACGAGTTAAGAGTAACTCTCCATCACTGTAACATGATACTATATACAGTCAGAATGTGCAATAACTAGGCACAAAACTGACAGAGTACTGAAACATTCGACGTCCTGACACCTAGCTTCAACACATCTCTGTAGCGCTAACCGACAGCCTTCCAACTTGGAAGGTTCAAGGTTATGGAAAGACCAAAGAGGGGAAGGCAAGCGCAACGAAAACGAGCAAAAGCTACAGTCCCAACGGAACAAAGAATGTCGATTGTTACTGGACGATGGTGAGACCAGTACGATATTTGACAAAGCGGTCTAACTACAATTCGAAGCAGCAAAGCAGCACACCACCCAACTTGGGAGGGTCATAAAATATCAAAGATAAGTAAAGAAAGGGAAGCTTTGCGAAAACGAATTGTACAAGCCGAAAGCCAAACTCCTACAGTACTCCTCATGCATGACATTGTGATGGACTAGTTGACTACAAAACAAGTGGTTTCACACGACGTACGTTTCGCCGTATGGTTCGTGACGGCTCATCAGGTGTGCAATTTGAAACTCGGATGTTTTCAGTACTCTGTCAGTTTTGTGCCTAGTTATTGCACTTTCTGACTGTATATAGTATCATGTTACAGTGATGGAGAGTTACTCTTAACTCGTATCCATATGTCCTTTTCTCTTCTACATTTATTTATGGCTCAACATCCGAGTAATAATTATAGGTTTTCTTTATTCCTGAAAATCGGATCCCGAAATTATTTCATCGCAAGCTGGTCCAGATTCAGAAAATGCTAACTTTCTCCCCACTAAAAATAGCGGTTCTACAGTAGTTTGATACGCGGCCGTACGAGCTAACAGTCACAACTGAGTTTGGCAAAGCTACAACAGTGGATTACCTACCAGATACGGGTGGTACAACTGAAGGCTCTTTCGTTGCTGGGAAGCTAGTTCTCACTCCATCCCTATTACCGAAATTGCCACTTGGGTTGTAACTACTTTCATCACTTTGGCTGGTTGAAACAGTACCAGTGTTGGCAAGGCTGGAATTCCCATTAAGAATACTGGAGTTCGCGCCAGGTGCGGAGATATTACTGGGCAAAGGGCTTATCACTACTTCCGAAATGTTCACCATTGTAGTTGGTGGAGGCATCGTAGTTGCTATTGTAGTTGCAGGAGGCGTCGTAGTTGCTATTGTAGTTGCAGGAGGCGTCGTAGTTGCTATTGTAGTTGCAGGAGGCGTCGTAGTTGCTATTGTAGTTGCAGGAGGCGTCGTAGTTGCTATTGTAGTTGCAGGAGGCGTCGTAGTTGCTATTGTAGTTGCAGGAGGCGTCGTAGTTGCTATTGTAGTTGCAGGAGGCGTCGTAGTTGCTATTGTAGTTGCAGGAGGCGTCGTAGTTGCTATTGTAGTTGCAGGAGGCGTCGTAGTTGCTATTGTAGTTGCAGGAGGCGTCGTAGTTGCTATTGTAGTTGCAGGAGGCGTCGTAGTTGCTATTGTAGTTGCAGGAGGCGTCGTAGTTGCTATTGTAGTTGCAGGAGGCGTCGTAGTTGCTATTGTAGTTGCATGAGGCGTCGTAGTTGCCATTGTAGTTGGTCTCGTAGTTGGTGGAGGTACCGTGGGTGCTGCAGTTGGTGGAGGTGCCGTAGGTGCTGCTGTAGTTGCCATTGTAGTTGGTAGAAGCGTCGTAGTTGCCATTGTAGTTGGTCTCGTAGTTGGTGGAGGTACCGTGGGTGCTGCAGTTGGTGGAGGTGCCGTAGGTGCTGCTGTAGTTGCCATTGTGGTTGGTAGAAGCGTCGTAGTTGCCATTGTAGTTGGTCTCGTAGTTGGTGGAGGTACCGTGGGTGCTGCAGTTGGTGGCAGTGGAATGAAGCCAACCACCTCTGTAGGACAAAAGAGAGGAAGATACCATGATAGTAAGAACAAGATTAGCTGCATTCTTGGTACTGGAAGCTGAAGAAGCAGCAGCTGTGGCAGAACCACCACCACCACCACCACCGCCACCGCCACCGCCACCGCCACCAGCATCACCTCCACCACTACCACCACCACCTCCACCACCTACTACTGTGCATGTGGCTGGTCATAGTCCTATAGGCTTACCATGTGGCCATGCAACATGAGTTACATGACCACACCAGTTGAGCCTGCAGCACTACGAGCCAACGCGAGTCAGATTAGAACTGCATTGGACAGATGTTATCACTGCAGGTGGTACACTTATTACCGTAATAACGCACATACAGTAAACCCTGTAGTGGCGACCAGTCGGATATGGGGACCACTCGACCATGGCGACCACTTTTCCTTGTCACGGACGCATTCACGTCAGGCGAAATAGCACGTCATAGTACATTGGAGACCAGCGGGAAGAAGATGATGGCGCCCACCAATTTAGTATCTGTACACGAATGTGCTGTGTGTGTGTGTGTGTGTGTGTGTGTGTGTGTGTGTGTGTGTGTGTGTGTGTGTGTGTGTGTGTGTGTGTGTGTGTGTGTGACTCTGTGTGTCAGCTATGGCATCAAACCCTGTGGTTCCATGTCTAGCATGTAGGTCAGAACCATCCTGCAAAGTTTGAATGTTGTAGGTTGAACGATCGCGCCGCGAACCATACTTTTTGAAATTCTCTTCAAAGTATATCTTTCACCATTGAATTCTTGAAGTCGCAACCACTACTTCGTATTGAATTCTTTTTAGACGAAGATGGAGGTCTTCTTGGAGATGGAAAAGGACATGGTTTCCAACTTCTGGCGTTTGGTGAAGCCAGGGTCATCATTTGTCCAGTCATGTCGGCAGCCTAACCGTCGGTAAGCTTGTGTTTGGATCCCGTTCTGCTCGATGTGGTAGATCACGAACAATTTTGATATCGCAAAAATTGAAGTCTGCATCGTGCGTACGGTATTTATATATTCAGAAAATCGCAAAGTGTCTCTGTATGGACGTCCTATGCCACAAGAAACTCCAATCAGGCTCTTACGTCCTCTGCCTTCTTGATTGAATGTCCACTTCGCTTGAACAACGAACACAACAATTGAGGACGGCTTTGCAATGAAAAATACAGCTACACTGGAGCTGGAAAAAAGAAGAAGAAAAAACGTGCTCAGGATGAGACTCGAGTACACGCGTCCTCTCCCAACAGGTTCTGTGGATGTCGCTCCTAGATGCGTAATTCCGTATGACGACATTCAAAACAGCTCGGATAAGGCGACCACTCGCTCAACGCGACCAACGACCACCCACTCGTGACCGCGTTGCACGCTACTACTAGTACACATAGTAAATGATTGTACGGGCATGCATTGCACTGTGCACCACACATGGTAGATCTACACATCGGCGCAGGAAGTGTAGATGTACCGTTACACGATGCACGCAGAACACTTGACAGATCTGAGGCACCCAGGCACATGAGTTGTGAAAGTGCTAGTAGCATAGCCATAGCATAGGTGTGTGCAGTGTGATCCACTGATCAAAATGATTATCCCATGTACATGAATGTGTTCACGTGACCCACTGAGTGCGTTCGATTATGCACGCGAATCGATTCACGAATCGATTTTCGCTATTCACATCACCCCATGTGAATAGAGTGAATGGATTCCGAATCGATTCCAGGGCTCATGACGTGAAAACCGAACGGCTTGAATGCATGCGAATGGATTCACTAATCGATTCAAGTGCGTAATCGAACGCACTCACTGAACCTGGATAAGACCACCTGGCCAAGGTGACCACTTTTTCTCCTCCCTTGAGTGGTCGCCTTAGACAGGTTTCCCTGTATAGGCACACACGCTTATAAGGGAATTTTTGCTATGAAACCAATTTTCAAAAACGAAACATTCTCACCTGAACGCGCTTGCTCGGTCAGAGTTCGTTTGCCAGAGTCTTTGTGTTTGGCTAGGTCTTGTAGTGTCAGTTTCATGGTTCCTGTATGCCGTTTGCAGACTTGTATCCGTGATTGTGTCAACGTGATACTTTAATTTGGTAGTGCTTCGCCTATAAGAGCATGCGCTTATACGTGAGAGTGTGCTTATATCCGAATACAGGCACATGCACCTATATGTGCGTTACTACGGTACTAATCTGGCATGTTTCGCTACACGAAATCCATTCTTAGGACCGATATATTCTACTATACGATGAAGTTGCTTGTGAGAATACATGTGCATTTGACACCCATAATATTATAATTATAAAAACATGAGAACAAAAGAGAAGAAACACTCATTACTGGTTCAGTATCCGAGCTTAAAAACATCAGAGTTCATACTTAGTCCACGTCAGCAATATTGTCGCTTATCTTTCAGCTTTGTTTTTATGTCGCCAATGCTCACTTGGCAGCCCATTTCATCTCAATCTTGGTTAGTAAGTTAGTTTACTAGTACCTGAAAGGTCTAGCTAGAGTTCGAGTGAATTTCGAGAGCGACGGGTGGGTGATTCTGATTGATACAGCACCGCATCAAAATGGATATCTTGTCACACTGCTCAGGCAAGAGCAGCGCAACGCACAAGAAAGTAATCTGCTACTCGGAATCAGTTCCATTTTGCAAAAGGGCCGAGATCGCTCACCTCAGGGATCGCTCGCCAAGCTGAGATCGCAGTTCCCTCACCTCCAGCTCAACGCTCGTAGTATCCAGCGCATCCTGGAAATTTGCAAGTACTGTAGCCATTGTCGCCGTTCAAAATAAATCTTGCAAAGAACGGCGACTGATTTGAACCACACAGGTAGTTGTGCTGCCCACGGGAAGTCCTATAGAGAAGGCGACCGTCACGGTCGACTTCCCTTTAGAAAATAGCCAGGCAGCGGAGAGGAAGAGAGATGAGCTTGTGAAAGTGAGAGTGTCGATCCCGAGCAAACATTATTTGTCACCAGCGCCGAGAGCAGCGACGAGGAGGACCAAAAAAAGTGTGAACCCTTCTTTGGACAATAAATTCCTGATGGCCAGTTGTCATTCTGTACGTTATCTTCCATCATACCCAGTTTTATCGTCTCGAGTGCACGCGTTGATGTCCAAAGTCTAAGTTCAAATTGTCGAGAGATAAGGGACAATATTGCTGATGCGGACCAAGTACTTGTAGGCAGTATATTCATTTTCACGACCACGCTATAACCTATACGCGCTATATGCCTTGTTCCCGAAAGTGGACAGACGACTTTCGTGCCTTGAAAAAGGAGTAGAGAGCGACAAAGGTACGTCTGTAGCTGATTCTTGAGTGCTCCTCGTACATTTTGATGGCATATAATAGAACATTCTCAGACCAAAGTGAGCGCGGCGGTGGGCGCACAGTTTCGTTGTGGATTTTTTAGTTTTTTCATCTCATACCTATGTCAGTGTCAGTATCGTGATGGTGAAGTGAACAGGATTAGTCTTTTCCTCTAGGCTTTGCTCGGCCGACTTTACTTCATCCTTGTTGAAAAGTGATGCTGAAAAAATGTCGATTCGCAAAATTATGTTGATTTTCAATGTACGTGATGACATGCGATTGCTGGCTATGGGTCTGTGCGATCCCTGGTCAAGAGAGTGGGAACTGTTGCGTACATTTCCAACCGGGTCGAGCATGCGTCTGCAGTACAGCACGGCATCGCACTTCACAGAGTCATGCGAGGATACAATCATTATCACTTCCATGACAAGAAGTCAGGAGGGGGCGCATGGGAGAGACGGGGCATGCTCTGGGGAGCAGTGTGGTGTAGAGTAGGGGAGAGACGGGGCATGCTCTGGGGAGCAGTGTGGTGTAGAGTAGGTGATCCAGTGAGTGCGTTCGATTACACGCGCGAATCGATTCACGAATCGATTCATGAATCGATTCGCGCTATTCACATCACCCCATGTGAATAGAGTGAATGGATTCCGAATCGATTCCAGGGCTCATGACATGAAATCGAACGACTTGAATGCATGCGAATGGATTCATGAATCGATTCAAGTGTGTAATCGAACGCACTCACTGAGTGCTAAGTTAGGTTTGAAGGTGGTACCGTATGAAATGCCTGCAGGGCACGTTTCAGGGTGGAAATAGCAGTAACACAATCGGGTCCTGTACGTTAAACACGCAGTCGGTCTAAGGGACGTTATGAGACTCCACTAGATTCTGCAGGTTGTTGCGGGATAGTGTACTAGTACAACGGGTATTTTGCTCGTTTCGGCACTACACTGTAGCACTTCTTTCACCATTAGAAGATTTAGGGGTGCCATCGGAAATTCTCATTCCAGCCTCTGACAACAATGCTGTTACCTGAATGTGTTGATGGAATGGTCATCGCCAGAAGCAAGGAAATCACAAACGCCACCACTGCAAGCAGGCACAGCAGTAAAAAGAACACCACCACATCCGCACGCAAAACACTAACATGAATGGACAAAGAGTATCCAGTCACCCCAATTTGAAAAACATCAATGTGTGATGTTGAAGACGACACGAGCACCGTCATACTGCTACAGAACTGTCCAAAGAAATCCAACCTCGTGACTAAAATAGCGCCAGGGGTAGGGGGGGGGGGGGGGGGGGGGCGCTGCTACGCAGCCCTAGCACTACGCACACTGTTGCATGCGCTGGAACACGGAGCTGCATTATTCATGCGGTTGGATTTCTCTGGCCAGGACTGTAATACTCATCCTGGCGGAGAGCTCTGCGTTCCTCATGTGCAGCCGGGCTGTGCTGCGGAGAATGGATTTGAAGATTCCACTGCAGCTTTTAGTGATGGTTGAATTAAAAATATTGCATTGTGTTTATTTAACATGAGCTATTGGACTATTAGACTAGCGTGGAGAGCCAATGACTAATTTAGAAGAAGAAGAAAAGAGAGCTAAAAGAGCTACAAGTTACGCTATCATATCCACTAACACCACCGGTTACTTTACAATCAGCTCGTGCGATAACATTGCACAACACTGACCGACGGTAATGACGTTCTACAACAAACTGGCAATCAGCTGTCGCATGTCTTGGATGCGCACACCAACAGCTTTCCTTCTGCCTTCCCCTCCTTATGTTCTTTCTATAACTTAGAACCTTCCATCCTGGAAGGTTGTTGGAGTGCACATCCAAGACGTGCGAGAGCTGATTGCCAGTTTTAGGTGTAGAACGTCATTACCGTCGGTCAGTGTCGTGCAATGTTATCGCACGAGCTGATTGTAAAGTAACTGGTGGTGTCAGTGGATGTGGTAGCGTAACTTGTGGCTCTTTTGGTTCTCTTTTCTTCTTATAAGTTATTGGATTGATTTTGCTTTGCCAGTAAATCCTCGTGAGTGGCCTCGAAAACGTAAAGGAATTATTTACACATAGCAAAACAGTTTGCTTATGGTGTTTGTACTGAGTGCGCAGCTCGCTCTATTCATTCCGTTAAAAATGCCACGGTTCGCTCGCTTGAGACTCAGTTGACTGGCTGCCTAATATGGTGTTACTAACACACCTGGCGATACAGCAGCAAAGACACGCCAGTCCAGCAGAACGCCATGTTGGCGTACCTATTCACCCTGACATCATTATACAGGGCAATCCATGATGACATCACGGGTCCAAAAACCTGACCTGCTCGTGTACAGAGCGGAATGTGATATGTGTGAGTACTACCTGGTCATGTGATCAATATTCATTGATGCCCACCGTGGTCATCACACATGATGTCAGAACAACAGCAACATAGCTTGGGCTGATGTCACATACCGGTATGATGTCACATGTGAGTACCCTCTGCTAGCCACATATTCTTTACCACATGGAGATTTCTGAAAAAGATTCACAACTTGTGCTGAGAGGCAAACACGCCTTCTAAAATATCTCAAAATTTGACCTATTTATGGCCAAAAGCTAGAAGGCCATCGTGTTACTCAGTAGGGCTGAAACGAATGCTCAATGAAGCGATTGAATATTCCTTTTCCGAATTCATGTGAAACGAAGAATACTCCGAATATTCTAAACCATGCAATATTCATGGATACCTAGTTGTACCCACGGTAACCATAGACCATTAACTGGTGTGTACCCCAATTACAAGATAGATGTGTGAAAAGGATAATGTTAACATTTGTCTTGCTGATGATAACACATTGAAGGGGACCAGCGTACTCATATTCTGCACAACATAAGCCTATTCTCTACCAAAAAGGCGAGTTTCTGTACATTTACGAATATTCTTATTCGACATAAACAGGGCTGCAACGGGTAGGGGTTTAGTCGGGTAACGAGTTCGGGTATTTCTGTCCGGGTAGCACGGGTACCCTATCGGGTATTTTTACACATAGTTTGTACAGTGAGTGTACGCTTGCACTACATAGAAAGTGCACAGTAAGCAAGTAGCCGTGCTTTTTAGTACAAGCATCGTTGCAAAAATGCTGTACTCCAACTACCCGATCGGGTTCTCAGGAGCAAACTGCCACCCGATTACGGGTGGCAATACGGGTGGGACGGGTACTCTACTGCTCGATGACACCCCTACACATAGACGAAGAATATTCCTTTCCTGTCTGCATATTTCGAATATTTCTTTCAGCAATGGACTTGGTCCATTTTTCTTTTGTATAAATAATATTCCTTTCAGCCCTACTTTTTAGGAATGGATTGTAGACATGTAGCCAGCTGAGCATCTTTCAATTGAAATTTATTTGTACAGGGGCGTCAGAATGTATTCGACATTTGGTGTGGCCATGAACAGGTGGAGGGTCTGGGGGTCATCCCACGGGGAAATGTTTAGGGAAATTGGGCCCCAAAAGCCCATATTTCATTGTTTCAAAGGTCGCAAGGTGAAATCATTGGTGCAGCTTTGGCCGCACCTGCCGCACCGGTTCCGACACCCCTGTTATGCGCCATAAGCCAGCAACACTACACTGACATTTCAGGTTAAAGTACCCTGGTTGGAAAACTTAGCTTTCATACATTTTTTTGAAGACCTTGCATATACTTTCCAGATATCTGACAGTGAACAGCAGTTATAACATATCTCGCCTATAAATCATGGGTTTTTATACGTCCCTCAGAGGTGCATCTGCGATTCACCCAAGTTTCACTCAACGTGAAATGTGCTCTTGCAGTTAACACTTACGTGTTGTCGGCATGGCGACCCTCCCACCATGGCGGTCCCGGTCCATCGCAATGGGGCAAGCAGCAGAGCTATGCCTAGCTGCATCACAACAGGAATCAGGTTGTTGCAAACATGAACACATAGCAGTTGAATGAAATACCTGAGGCACACAGCGCATGCCATGCGGACAAGACGGGAATACGGTTGCATTTTTTATATTAGGGGAGTCCCAACAGGCTATTGCATCGCATTCATGCTGCCGTTTTCGTACACAAGCTGGGAACGCAATGGGCAGCCAGACGGCTGGGCTATCATGGTCAGCGCCATGTTTTCCCCAGCAAGACTGGTCTGAAGTAGTCTTCGACTGAATTTAGTCTCTGCGAACAGCACAAGGAGTTTCGTTCGAAGATCCCTCCCGTCTCCCAACTCCCTCCCCATCCCGTCCCCTACCCCATCAATGTTGCTATAATAGGATGTGGATAGGCTAAAGAGCCTCATGATATGTGCTGCTTCAAGATGTTCTGCTTCAAGTATCAGACCTTCATTCTTGGCCCATTTTCGGAGTTGGATCTGACGCGGAAGGTGCTTCTCTTGCGCTTGAGGACGCGCACGGTACAGGAGCGTGACGATAAACGCTGAACTTCCCTGGATGGGTAACACAGCATGCATGCGCAGCTTTTCTCGCACAGCAGAGTATGCTGGCTTCGACGGATTCACAGAGCATTAGTTCCTTGAGCAGGGTTGTAGCAAAGGTGACATGTTGCACCCTCCCCCCAACGCACCCTGTTCCTTCAAGTTTATGCTGGCCCGCGCAAATAGATATGACCACTGTACAGCAGGTCCGGGGGGGGGGGGGGGGAACCGGTTCAGTTCATTGCGCGAAATCACGCGACACCTGTACATTTTCGATCTGCGGGATGAAGATGACGACGTCCATGCATCAGGTATCAAGGGGTAGTAAGATACTGGTATAATTATTACTACTCCACGCCTCAAATCGTGCTGTCAAGCGTATGCGGGGGAGTGTAGCATGCCATCCCTTACACTTTCCAGCTCAGGGTTACCCTCGCTACCAATGGACGAAATTTCAGGGTCACAGCTTGCGCAACGGCTTTGTCCTGTGCGAATGGCCACTCGACATACTCAGCACAAATTTTCTATTGCATGCATGCACAAAATGTTCAACTTTCGTATTTTTGGCGACTTTACCACCGTCATGGAGGCTGGTTGGTGAGGAGCAGGTAGCCATCCCTTGTGGAATCAAACACATGGTTCCACAGTGTGGCTGATTCCGCAAGAGCCAGGTCCATACGAGGAACATTCGCTTTGTCTTTTGCCATCGAAGTAAGTCACTTTTCTTGTTCTCAGTGTTTTTTACGTTCAACGTTTCTGAGATTTTTGAATTATTCACTTTTCATTCTTTCATACTTTATTTCTTCATGTTCACTGCCTCACTTGCCTTCTGATCTGGAGAATGTGACGGAGGTGACTGTTGGTTACTGCCTGGTATAACGGTTGTCGTGCTGTTGCTGTATTTCCGTCCTGCTCGCGACGTTGTAGATCACAAACAATTTGAAATCACATGAATTGTACTTACCGTCGTGCGTGCGGTATTAGGAAACACTGTGCAGATTAGATCGTCGCAATGTATCTATATGTGTGTCTGGTCATCCTGTGCCACGCAAGAACTCCAACCAGACGCATTCGTCCTCGGCCCTGTTGATCGATTGTCCACTCGTCTTTCCTTGAAGAACGATCGATCAAAAAAAATCGAGCTCGAGGACTTTTTGCAAAAAACGGCTGAAAAAAGGAAGAAAAAAGGGTGCTCAGAATGAGATTCGAGTACACAACCATGGTCCCAGCAGTTTATGTGGATGTCGCTCATAGATGCGTGATTTCGCGCAATGTGTTCAGGCCATGGTCGGACCAACATTTGGCCACCAACACACGTTTACTGCTGAGGAGGTCATGCCTACCCTTCATATCCTACACAAAGGATGAAAGGCCAGGAAATGCCCGGACAAATCCAATACTGCCTCAGCCGGTCCTGTATAGTGCATGATTGAGCATACCAGCATCCGTGAACAGGATCCATGCATTCATGTATGGATTACAGAGTGAAGTTCTGTGCTGGCTTCTAGCTACAGCTATGCAAAAATGGCAATGTACTGTGGCGGACATTGAAGTCCGTTGAGAATTTGTTTAAAGCGGCCACGGGGCTCTGGCCTTGCAGCCGTGAGTACTACTGCATGCATGCTGGTCCATTTTTAGCAATGTAACAGTGTGTGTACAAGCTTAGTGCTGATTATTCCACCGTGTTCTTAATGATAGCTTGCATAGACCTCGGTCCTACCGGTAGGACCTACCGGTAGGACCATCATACACAGACATGCTGCATAGCCTCTGTTCTAACATTGACCTAAAACTTGGCCCTAAACTGTTGCTAAGGGGCTAATGAAGGAGTCCACAAATTTTAGACGTGATCGCACAAGGCATACTACGAAATTCCATGGTAACAACCCATGGTAACCATGGAAACGAAGTATGATATTATGCATTCCACGGCCTTGGCAAGCTAATAAAAACATTAGGACCTCACCACAATTGATGTGCCATGGTCAAAATACACTTTGGACAGAGTTGCTAGTGCACCGACAGGATTATGTGCGGCCATTTTGACAATCGATAAAATTGCGCATACGCAATGCACTGGACATAGCCTTGCATTTTGCGCCATTACTTTGCCTGACAAAGACCTCATCTCAACAATTGTTTCAAAAAAATTCTCAACCAAAAGCACTTTTGCAGCTTGATTTCTTGGGTCCTACCGGTAGGACCCGTGGTCCTACCCGTAGGACGGTATGCAAGCTATCATTAACCCTTAGGTGCCGGTAGGTCGATTTCGACCTATGCTGACAGTGCATACTAAAATCGAGCACAGAGCCGGTCACGTACATAGCAGGGGCCTGATGTTTTGTACAGAGACCCATCAGTAGCTGGCCTGTAGATAGCAATAGAGAAAGTAGGGGGATTGCAAAAGTCGAGTCGTGATCAACGCGATCTCGCAGATCAGCGGAAATCAATCGAGCGTGGCAGCCTACGCACGTGTCGCGCAACACGAACAAAACGTTGCTGTTTCGCTTCGTTTTCGACTAGTGCAGTTCATGGCTACTACAGTTGACCTCCGTCATGAATGGGAGCGCTTGAGTTGTTTGAAGAGCTGGAGGCCGATGATGCCCCTGTAGAAGAAGAATCAGAAGACGACGACGGTGAATAATCTGACGCTCGTTTCTCTGACGGAAACCTGCTGGCACCAGATGAGGAAGACCGACTCAACGATGATTTGGTTTTCTGTGAATTTCTTGAGAACGGCAGCTCTACAGATGAGGACAAATGTTCCGACGATGAGCTTCAAGAGGCTGTAGGGCGAGGGCGAGCGCAGCCAGTTCATGGACGTGCTCCGCTCACGCTGCGCGGAGGAATTGCTCGCGGCGCTGGTCGAGCTCAGCCAGCTGATGGAACAGCTGATCGTGGCGTGCATGACGCGCGTGGATGAGGCCGTGGCGGAGGCCGTGGACGAGGTAGTGGATTCGGCGTGCTGAGTGGTATTGGCGACCAAGATGTTCCTGGACCAGCGCAGTACCCTGACCCTAATTGTAGATTTTTCTGACTTGAAAATTCAAAAATCGAATTTCCTGTGTCTTGCCATTCATAATACATACTTTTGTCTCTACATCATCTAAACGGTTGCGGAGATATAGGCTTTCCAAAAAATTGAGCCAAAACTACGAAAAATCTAAAATTCACTCAGGCACCAAAGGGTTAATGTCCACCACAAAACCTACATATAGCAGTGCTGGTACATGTATGTGCAAGCCTTGCTTGATAGCTAAAAGCAAGAGTAGTTAAACAAGAGTGTGCAACTCCGGATCTCTCCTGCACAATCTGCAGATGCCCCGGCCCACAGCGGATTTTTTGTTGACGTCACCTTTTTCACACCTTTTTTTCACAAAACGCGCATTTTGCATTTTTGATAATGACAGCATGTCACGGTGTTTTCAAGACAGTTTATCCTCAGCCTTGTGGTAGTATTATACTGTCACCATGGTACATGTACAGCCATGCACATTACCATGCTGCACTCTCCATGTGTGAAGTGATGCACATGTGAACACCTATGTACAAGCCGCTACATGTACCAAACCCAGTCCGGCCTGGCTCAATTTCAAGCTCATGCAGCCCTATTGAGTCAGTGGCAAAATGCCAGATAGAACTGATGTTGTCCCGCTTTCCCTGGCTAACACTACAGTTGATAATGCCAGATAAATGCCATGGCTTTTGGATCGAACAAGCACGCCTTGTGGCACGGATTAGAGGGAAAATAGCAAGTAGCACGGACCACAGCCATTAGAGTGCCACATAATGCACCTCACCAATAGACTTCGGCTTCGCTAAGACAGTTGAGGAGTCGGCCTCACTGCTCCTTTGGCCGACACCATTTCGTGCGCGGATACCGTACCACGCTAACGCCTCTGATCACAAACAAGCTGCCAACAGGCATGAAAACGTACAGAGTGCCTACTCTTCTTGGACACAAGACGCGAGTGTCCGCCACGAGCACATCGTGCGGCCATACGCGCATGCAAGCAAAGCTATAGGGTTCCGTCAATCACGACAGTCAACAAACGGAAACGAGCGTTTTGAAGCCATTCTCCGATGGCCTCGGCGCTTCCGCCTTGCTCAGTATCGCCAAATCCTAAATTCAGTAAAACGCCGCACGTGTGCTTACCAACTGGTGCAGAGAACTCCTTGCGTGTGTTGGGCTCGATGGATAGAAGCAACACTGCCGCCGGCGGCAACTCCCTGACGATCGAAGGGGTCCAGAGACGCGCTGGATATCTGACTCGAGCAAGAAAATTCCATTCACAGAGTCAGTACTCTCCTGTGCCGGTAGCCTGTGCCGGTATTTGGATGCAAACGGGAACTCCTAAATTCCAACAATCCTTCAACATGCTCTAGACCATTACCACCGAACTACTATCAACTAATTACTTGGACGGAGAATTTCTGTTTGTGTCGAAAAACGTTGTGCACAACCATTCACTTCTTTCCTCTGGTTTCTTCTTCGTTCATGTTTCTGGCGCGGCTCTAGCTCTGGAGTCATTTCACATTTCGACGAGTTGCAAGGAAATTTCCCCTTAGAAATTCGGAGCTGGAGTGAACTCGCCTTGGCCCACCACATTGATTGTGAACTCATGTACCATAAATCGCAACATCATGACCATAATCTTCCAAAAAGGTTGATATGTAGACTGTACTTTGACCTTTGACTTGGCATGCTTTTGCATGCTACTTCGAAGCATGACGTCACCGCAAAAGTATGTAATCAAGCACGCTCATGAGCTCAGGCCGGAGGTCATGATGGGTGAATCTTGCCCGGGCCTGGAGGCTGGAGTGGAGCCTAATAAGGGCCGTACCCGTAGGCTGCAGGCAAGGCCAAGCTGCAAGGGCAAGATTCAGCCATCATGACACACAGCACGAAGCAACATATTAGGGAAGGTCAAAGGTCGAAAGGTCGAATTATTCCCGAAGTGACGTCAAACGGTCCTGAAATTCCCGAAGTGACGCCAAACGTTCACCTGATAATGCCCGCGGCGGGAAGACCGCCGATTGGCCATGACCTAGGCCTTGACGGATTATGCTAGCATAATTTTTCGCATAATTCCTACCTAAATCGAATAATCGCATAATTCGTGGCAAATTGCATACGAATCGCATAAAATTGTAATAATCCGCCTGTTCGCATCAAATTCCATACAGTTGTACATGTTGTACAAGTACAAGTACAAGTAGATGCACCAGGAAGTCGTAGGTTTACGACTCCCTTGATAACATGTCCAGTCCACTACAATCAGTGATGGTCGTAGCTAGGTCGGACGGTGCGTTGACCCCGTTGAACTTTTGCTGCTACAGTACAACGCCCTCTACAAAAAAATTCCCCTGGTATTTTGCACAGAACCATCATACATTAGCAGCATATGTGAGCATAATGCGGCATAATATGATAACTTTTAGCATAAAAATAGCATAATTCTGCAATTTTTTCAGCAATGCGAAAAGCATAATTTCACGAAAATATTAGCATAATCTGTCAAGGCCTACCATGACCTGTAAACCCGTAATCTGCACACAGCACTTCATGCAACTGTCAATCACCAAGAATTTGCTGACGATATAATCCTTGATTTCTCCCATCCTGACTTAGATTTTGTTGGCAGAACTCTGACGAGAGCAGTAACAGATATCTCCCGACGGCTTGAAGACATCGGCCTCGTAATGAATGCCAGCAAGACTCAGGTCATGTTCGTTCAGCCTCGTGGCGCAGCCATTGCCACGCCCGATGTTTTCTGCAACAACGAGCAACTGGAGGTGACGGCCACCGCAAAATACCTTGGTGTGATCGTCGACGACCAATTGTCATGGAGGCCACATGTCGACTATGTGTCACGTAGAACTGCACAAACCATAGGGCAATTGTGGAGACACGGGCGTTCACTAACGCTTAGAGCTCGACGTTCGTGGTACACCAGTATGGTAAACAGCCAGCTGTGTTATGCTTCAGCAGCATTCTACCCAAGCCTCACAGCTCAGCTTCTCGACCGTTTGGGGAAGATCAGCAAGGCTGGAGTCAGAGCTGTGTTTCAGCTCCCTCGTCAAACACCGACCGCACCTCTTATTTCTAGATTAAATATTTCCCCACTGATCCACCATTTTAAGCTCAAGATTGTTGTTTTTGTCGATAGATGTCTTGCCTCCAATGCAAGCATGCTATTTTCGCCTTTCTTTCTGTTGATCGCTGAACCTGGTCTTGAGCGAAGCACACGCCGTGTTACACGTGGCCAGGTCTCACGTCTTCTCCAAATTCCATTCGTTCGTGGACCAGCATCTCGAGCGTCCATGCAATTCGTGGGCGGCGTGTATTGGAACAGGCTTCCGGCAAATATTCGTTGCCATGAAGATATTCTGGGTTTCACAGCCCTGCTGTGCCCAGATGTTCTTGACACGCTTTCTCTGTCTTGACTCATTCGTCAGACATGTGCATTTTGATCTTTTGGTTTGGTCTCTAATCGACAAACTGACTTTTCTCCTCAAATACCTCAACTTCTCTATTTCTATTTCATACATCTGCTTCGTTTATTCCTTACTCTTTTCTTTCTATCTTTTTCTTTTCTTTCCCTTGTCATTTAATCACTGTCACTCACATACAAATACCGTCATAAAATATAAAACACAAGATTTTCTCATCTTTTTCTATTTCTTGTTTTTCATTAGCTTTAGCATGTTCATTCACATTCTTCATCATTTGTGAGAACTAGACCTGGTCTAGTGAGAAGGCATTCTACTGCCTGTAATTCTGGTGAAGTAAAATAAAGTAACAACAACAACAACCCTGGCAACGATCACGTGTCATGTAAGAAAGGAAGTAAGTTACAGCGGATTGTTCGAGCCAGAGTATCTAGCCAGAGCAGTGCTAGCAAGAGTAGATAAAAAAAGGTGGCAGATTCTGCTCGAAAAGCAGTGAAATTGGCAGAACCATACAAACCTTATGAAGTTATGGCGGGCAATTCCTCGGATTCTGCTCCATTTCTTTATCCACATACCAAACATGCATGAAACTTACCAGAAAAAGTACCGAATTGTGCCAATTTTGTCTGCCGCTATTATCCGCCAAGGCCTAACCATGGGTACGACTCCCTGATTACAAGTCATTGTAGTGGATGAAGATTGAAGAACGCCTTCGGAGGCTGTGAACGATGTGTGTTGTGGTACATGGTCATGGTCATCTCATTTTTCACATCCCCAATGATCGGTCCCCGCTTTCTTGTCTTGCACGTACGCGTGCCTATAGATGGGAGTGAGGGGAAAATGTTTCTTCAGAATTCCCAAACTCCATTGCAGCGTATTTCTTGCACTTGAAAATACCACCATTCCGGCAACAGGTAGGCCTTGACAGATTATGCTAATATTTTCGTGAAATTATGCTTTTCGCATTGCTGAAAAAATTGCAGAATTATGCTATTTTTATGCTAAAAGTTATCATATTATGCCGCATTATGCTCACATATGCTGCTAATGTATGATGGTTCTGTGCAAAATACCAGGGGAATTTTTTTGTAGAGGGCGTTGTACTGTAGCAGCAAAAGTTCAACGGGGTCAACGCACCGTCCGACCAAGCTACGACCATCACTGATTGTAGTGGACTGGACATGTTATCAAGGGAGTCGTAAACCTACGACTTCCTGGTGCATCTACTTGTACTTGTACTTGTACAACATGTACAACTGTATGGAATTTGATGCGAACAGGCGGATTATTACAATTTTATGCGATTCGTATGCAATTTGCCACGAATTATGCGATTATTCGATTTAGGTAGGAATTATGCGAAAAATTATGCTAGCATAATCCGTCAAGGCCTAGCAACAGGCTCTCAGCTGCACCAAATAGATAAATAAATAACTTTGCCAATATTTCGCCCATTGGGCATCATCAGGGCATTGAGGAAGGGGAGGCAAAACACGAAATATAAAGACGAATAATGCAGGCAGATGAATGTTCTAGAACTAACACATCGTTGTGACACAATTGGCAAGGCCAGCAAACTAAAAAATCATCACTTGTAAGGTGACCTAAACAGAACGAAACAAGAGAAAACTCACGCAGAGTCACAGACACAAAACCCTTTGCTGCTTCGAATTGTAGTTAGACCGCTTTGTCAAATATCGTACTGGTCTCGTCATCGTCCAGTAACAATCGACATTCTTTGTTCCGTTGGGACTGTAGCTTTTGCTCATTTTCGTTGCACTTGCCTTCCCCTCTTTGGTCTTGTCATAACCTTGAACCTTCCAAGTTGGAAGGCTGTCGGTTAGCGCTACGGAGATGTGTTGAAGCTAGGTGTCAGGACGTCGAATGTCTCAGTACTCTGTCAGTTTTGTGCCTAGTTATTGCACTTTCTGACTGTATATAGTATCCAGTTACAGTGATGGATAGTTACTCTTAACTCGTATCCATAATTATGTCCTTTTCTTTTCTACATTTATTTAGGGTTCAACATCCGAGTTCCAAATTGCACACCTGATGAGCCGTCACGAACCATGAAACAACTTTTTTTGTAGTCAACTAGTCCATCACAATGTCATGCATGAGGAGTACTGTAGGAGTTTGGCTTTCGGCTTGTACAATTCGTTTTCGCAAAGCTTCCCCTTTCTTTACTTATCTTTGATATTTATGACCCACCCAAGTTGGGTGGTGTGCTGCTTTGCTGCTTCGAATTGTAGTTAGACCGCTTTGTCAAATATCGTACTGGTCTCGTCATCGTCCAGTAACAATCGACATTCTTTGTTCCGTTGGCACTGTAGCTTTTGCTCGTTTTCGTTGCGCTTGCCTTCCCCTCTTTGGTCTTGTCATAACCTTGAACCTTCCAAGTTGGAAAGCTGTCGGTTAGCGCTACGGAGATGTGTTGAAGCTACATTGTAGGTGTCAGGACGTCGAATGTCTCAGTACTCTGTCAGTTTTGTGCCTAGTTATTGCACTTTCTGACTGTATGTAGTATCCAGTTACAGTGATGGAGAGTTACTCTTAACTCGTATCCATAATTATGTCCTTTTCTTTTCTACAATAATAATAATAATAATTTGAAACTCGGATGTTGAGCCATAAATAAATGTAGAAAGGAAAAGGACATAAGAATACGAGTTAAGAGTAACTCTCCATCACTGTAACTGGATACTATATACAGTCTGTATATAGTATCCAGTTACAGTGATGGAGAGTTACTCTTAACTCGTATTCTTATGTCCTTTTCCTTTCTTCAATAATAATAATAAAAGTAACGTCGGTGGAGTAGCGCGAGCTCCGGTGTGGGGAGCAAGCCCTTTCTTACAAATAATAATAATAATAATACTCGAATGGTGAGCCGGTATAATATTAATGTTTTTATGATGAAGAAAGGAAAAGGACAAAATGTTACGAGTTATGACAAACTGTCCACCAACGTAACCAGATCTCATACAGTCAGCGAGTGCGACAAAATGGCACAAAACTGACAAGGAGTACTGAGATCTTTCCACCTTTCTGAACCTGAGCCTTCCAAGTTGGAAGGTTGTTGGTTTGCGCCTTGGAGAAGTGTTGGAGCTAGGTGTCACTCGCCGAATGTCTCAGTACTCCTTGTCAGTATTGTGCCATTTTGTCGCACTCGCTGGCTGTATAAGATCTGGCTACGTTGGTGGACAGTTTGTCATAACTCGTAACATTTTGTCCTTTTCCTTTCTTCATAATAATAATACTAGTAACACATTTCGCGTAGTACAAGAACACTAAACAATAAAGAAATTCAGTGTATTTTCTGCGTCTGTCTTGTGAGCATCATCAGCAAGGTGTAGTAGCTGCTGATACTGGTTTCTCCTCGGGCGTCGAGCTGCACAGTTTCTTCCAGCCTGTCTGGTCCGCTGCTTGTTGTCGGCACCTGGAAAGGTCTTCCATGGTCTTCATGGGCACAACCAGCTTATTCAGCTGAGCGACCAGACTTACGGCCAGCGTCAACTTTGGCCGACCACGTGGTGCTTTGGTGCCCTTGTCAAAATAGCCGCTCATGGCTACTTGCGGTGGCGTGTCCGTGTCCATCCGTAGCACATGACCTGTCATTCGTAGTCGCCTACATGCAGCTGTGTCTGATACAGGGTTGTTCTTGGTTCTGCGGTATAGGTCGTCGTTCGAGATGGGAGGGGAGAAGGGAGGAGTAAATTACAAAGCAGCTGGCTTCAGGTCGATCCCGACACGACGAGGCTAAAGCTATTGCAGATCAGTGAGTGTACGGTCATATCATGTACAGTGCTGGCAACTGAAATCCGACCCCCTTGGCGGCGCGTCGCGCCGGCAAGGGGTTCGGATTTCAGTTGCCAGCACTGTAGTTCGAATACTTGAGTACAAGAAACCAATGCAATCAAACATTATTCAAAGTTAACTCGGACACTGAGCCCGTACATTTAATTAAAATAGAGGAAATCACATGCAAACGAGTTATGAAGCAAATATGCACAACTGTAACAAGATAATAAGCAGTCAGAAAGTGCGATAACAGGGCACAAAGCTGACAGGTTACTGAGACATTCAACGACCTGAGACCAACATGTAGCTCTAACACATCTCCAGTGCGCAAATCAACAGCCTTCCAGCTTGGAAGGTTCAGGGTTATGGTAAGACCTATGGGGAAGGCGAGCGCAGCGAACACGTGCACAAGCTAAGTCCCACGGCAACAAAAAATTGCCAACCGTTACAGGATGATGACGAGACCAGTCAAGAGCATGGCAATGCGGTCTAACTACAATTCGAAGCAGCACAACAACACACCACCGGTGACCCAACTTCGATGGGTCAGCAATACCAGCAGGAGTCCATAACCTCAAGGTTATCTCTTGATATCAGAGATAAATACAATTGAAAATAATATTATGTTCCTGCGTGGGAACTTTGGCGGGAAAGGAGTTAAGCAGTCTGTGTAAAAATATTATCGTAAAATGTCAGGGCAGAAGGGAACCTGATAACTTTGTTCCGCGAAATCGTGCAGCAGATGAGAGGGAAAGGACAGGGAGGATAGAGTATACAAAGCTGTAAACAGAGTCGTGGCTTAATTTGCTTGCTAACGGCGGCTTGCAGCAGCATGCATTCATTCGTCAAGAAAAGACGACAAGATGCAATGGGCTTCTGATGCAAGTTCCGAAAACAGGTGTCCTCCAGACACCAATGGTAGCTTATGGAAGGACGAGACTTCACTTTGCATACACGTAACAGGTGTGAACTCTCGCGCTCCCCCTGAATACAACGTCACATGATTCCGATAGCGCCAGTGCGGTTGTGGCACATTGAATACATGTACATGTATATGCTAGGGATGCGTATGAGGCGGTTGCTGGCACCTCAGTGTCAGTGACCTGTGCTGAGCAAGAGCACCACAGTCATGTACAAGTCAGGAACCAGGCTATCTTTGCGCGGCTACAAGTACAATGCACAACGTCGCTTGAGAAGATAATTATTATAACAAAGCTCTTCTGTTGTGTCCTGGTGAGCAAGAAGCTGATTTGTGCTGAGCGTTTGTTATCTTTACAGCGCTACCACTCCGCCTACTCGCCATACCACGCATGGATATACTACCGTCAATTCGACTCACCATTGCAGTGTAAACATTGCAGTGTTGCCGGCAAGTGTCACAACGGGAGGGATCACAGGCGCTGGACGTCTGGGCCCAGAAAGGTGAGTAACTTGTAGATCCAGACTTCTCTCAGGATAGAGTTTTTGCAAGGTTAATACAATACCAATGTTGTATTTACTGGTTTGAGTGGAAAGACGCAGATGGGAAAAGTCTGAAGAAAAAAATTTACTGTCACCACCAGGACTCGAACCAGGGACCCTCGCGTGAGGCCACCGATGCTCTAACCACTGAGCTATGGTGTAGCCGTAAACCCAGCAGAGACCGTTCAACGTTTTCTTCAGACTTCGTAACTCACACTTCCTGTGAATCCACCCAGGCGGGTAGGACGCAGCTCTCACTGTAACCCCCCCCCACACACTGTATTTGTATGTATTTACTGGATTCTCCGAAAGATATTCTCCTTTCGGAGGAGTTTCCTGATGCGGAACTCTGAATGAAGGCTGCCTGCCCGCCGCTACATACATATGTATCTTGGAAAACCCAGAACACTCAAGCTCATGCAGCTTTACATTTTTTTACTTATATTAGCACAGATCAGTAATCTACCTGACCAAGCTAAAAGCCTATCTCTTCCTATTTCTGACCAGTTCCGGAGCTTTACTTGATCCTGAGCTATTTAGCTCTGTGGGTTTCTTATCTGTTCATGCCATTCCTTTCCTTCTTTTCTTCCATATTCGCATTCATGTTATTGGCCACAGTCCCCACGTGCGAAGTAAAATAAACCCAGCCTACCAACCAACCAAAGAAACAAACAACACCAATGGCTGATAATCGCCAAGTGCGTGAAAACTGAAAGGTGAATGCACAGCGAAAACAGCCAACCGTCCCTTGCTTATGCGCGTCTCAATTCTAAAGGAGGCACCCTTTTAAATAGCATGTGTGTTTTGCTTAGTGACAGGCTCGGATGGAGGCGAATGTGATGATGTCGATCAAGATTGTCGTCCAGGTTTTGCTCGCCCTCCTGCCGGCAGTGCGTCACGCTATTGGTCAGTGTATTATTATTATTTATTAAATTTTTAATAGGGCATTCCCACAGGCCTGAGGGGAGTAAGGCCTTCTTACGGGGTACCCTATATTGTTTTTGTATGGATGAGCGTGTACTAGTAGGGATGTGCAACTTTAAGTGTGGACGTTGGGCAGTTACAAGTTCGTTACGTGTACAATGTATACGAGACTGGTCGCAAGTACCGGACTTGGGTCCAGCTTCCTTGGCATATGAGCAGAGGAGTGAGTGGAAGGTTTTGCTGTGCTGCCTGCACTATCCAGAGTAGATCTACATGTACCTGTATGTACCTGTAACATGGTGTTTTCGTTGTCAAGACGGACGGTAGTGTTTTCTCTGCTCTAACCTGTTATCTAGCATGCGTAGCCCCAGATATGACATTCATTATGTTGGGACACACGTACCTTTGCATTCTGGGCAGAACAACAGAGACCAAAAATCGTTCTCGTGACTCCGAGTTTCGTGTTTCAAAGAACACTCATCAGATGACCCCCTACCTTTGCATTCTGTTTTCCTTTCGCGCCTCGAAGTTCGGAAAATTGAATATATTTCGCGCATGCGCTTTCAAGGTACATGTACATGTATTATGTACAAGCTGTGCAGTTGAGCTTGCGCGCCTGCAGAAATGTGCGTTTAAGTGGCCATTAGAACAACACAACATTATCCGGCGTTAGAATATCAGTCCTGGGGTCTGTGCAAGCTGGAGGACAACGTATTTCATGTTTAGAAAAACAGCATTAGTCGGCCATTTGTCAAGTCAAGTCTGCGGGAAAAGCGCGAGTTCGAGTGTCAATTTGGTTTGAGCTACCTACAGTTAACGGCACGCTGAGAGTTTTCTCTTCGACATAGATATTTGGATCGTTGAATTCGAGCTACATTGTAGTTTTGACCGAGTTGCGGCCTGTTGAAGTCTCACAGTCGAGTGTGTAGAGTTCTACACATTCAAGTATGGACCGGCTCTCTAACGCGATCAGATTTCATTGCATGATGAGCAGTGCTGGAGTACATGTAGTCAAGTCAGGGAACGCTCTTGTACACTGTGTGGCGTTGGTTGTGTTACAGGCGCGTTGCCCGTGATGACATCTCGCGGGCATTCTCTCACCGGAGCATCTTACTTGGCCTACTACGCAACCGGACAAGCTACCATCCAGATTGGTGTCCAGAGTTTGCCTTCCTGCTCTGCCTCTCTTGGGCCTGGTGGATACCTGGCCATCGTCAATCGCCGAACCGGACGGGCTGTTGCAAATACCAGCTACACATCCAGGTAGGACGGATCCAATGCAGCTACACTATTGCACGATTGCCAAACCTGTTCCTTTGTCACGTGATCAGGTTTATGCACATGTATGTGTGAGTGGGGAAGGGGGGGGGGGGGGCTGCTGTTCATCTCCACACTGGCATACTAAAGTTGAGCACGGTGAATGAAATCCAACCCTGAATACATAACTGGGGCCCTCAACAAGCACACCCTTGACGCCCTGGAAGTGGCACGAATGCGAGAGAGAGAGAGAGAGAGAGAGAGAGAGAGAGAGAGAGAGAGTGAGAGAGAGAGAGAGAGAGAGGGAGATAGAGAGAGAGAGAGAGAGAGAGAGAGATAGATAGATAGATAGATAGATAGATAGATAGACAGAGAGAGAGAGAGAGAGAGAGAGAGAGAGAGAGAGAGAGAGAGAGAGAGAGAGAGAGAGAGAGAGAGAGAGAGAGAGAGAGAGAGAGAGAGAGAGAGAGAGAGAGAGAGAGAGAGAGAGAGAGAGAGAGAGAGAGAGAGAGAGAGAGAGAGAGAGAGAGAGAGAGAGAGAGAGAGAGAGAGAGAGAGACTAACAAATGAGGGCTGAGACCTCTACAACAGGGTTTTACGTCTGAAAACACGCGCACGAATTAACAAGCAGGTTGTCAGAGAAACAGGGAGAGAGACGGGCAGGTAGGCCAGCTTAATTATAATGAAAATATGGCGATAGTGATCCGTCTGACCTCAAAGGTTCATACTGTGTGGAACAGCAGCAGTGCGAATTTGGGCCGGGTGCGGTATGACCCGTACCTCGCTGGGCAACGCATTCCAGACGACCAGAGCCTAGCTCCTTGGAACGCGAGACGACCCTTACCCAGCTCAGTGCGGGTTGGTGGTGGTCTTAGACCCATAGGGCCATAGTCTAGATGATTGGAGCCGAGTAGGAGCGCCACTGGTTGGTAGCAACAGCACTCGCAGTGTAGGGCTAGCACGGGAAAAGCGGCAGCGCGGCAATGATGTACATGCATTCAGAACTAGTCCAGGGCACGAGCTTTGCACTTTCGATCGGATTTCACTGAGCGCACCTGCACTAGATACATAATACCAGTTTTGCACTTTCTGTCGGATTTCACTGAGCGCAACTGCAGTAGATACATAATACCAGTTTTGCCCACATACATGTAGGTAACTGACCCCACTGATACAGGTTGGCTAGGCTTGCACTTGCGTACCAACATGATTGTCATGTCCGCTGCCCGCGGGTATATTAAACGTCAGCATAGAGCTGATGATGGATGTGAGCACTGTTTCGGTGCATCTGCACTTGACTGATGCACATCACCCAATTGTTCACACCGAAGTACATGTACTGCACCCACACCGAAGTTAGTGCATGATCGGTGATGTCCTATGGGCGAAATATTGCCAACTTCTGCATCTGTTTGGTGCAGATTGGAGCTTGTTCGCGAAATGGAGATGCTTTCGACGAAAACACACGACTGTGTGGTAGCACTTCTTATGTCTCCTACTCAGTGCTGGATCGTCCTTCTTCATTCCTACAGCTATCCTCTGTATAAAAATCAATAGTTCTATTCAAACATTATAGCCATTCAGTATTCTTACGATCTTCATTGATGAGATATTATATGATCGAAACAGCTGTACGGAGGAATACGTTTTTCGATATAATTATTATTATTATTATTATACGCATTCCAGCGTTGAAGTGTAGCAGCAGTATGCTGCGTCCACAGCTTCGCTTATATATATACAGGATATAATTATTATAATTATACTCAATCTGCGGACAGAACTGTTTCGTCCTTTGTGGACTCGTCAGCGCAGCACAGAGGAAATGAGGCCGAACCTGGTAGCATTGAAAAATAAATTTTCCAAAGCCAGATTTAAACCAGGCCCGAACGTACCTTGCCGGAGTGCACAGACCGACAGGTCAATGAGCTCTGCATAACGCAAACAGCAAAGGCACTACCCCACGCAAGAGTGCTCAACTGCTACAAGAGCAGGAGCGAAATACTCAATCTGCGGACAGCATGCTGTTTCGTTCTTTTTGAACTCATCAGCGCAGCACAGAGGAAATGAGGCCGAACCTGATAGCAATGGAAATAAAAATTTCCAATCAGGCCCGAACGTACCTTGCCAGAGTGCTCAAACTGACAAGTCAGTGAGCTCTGCATAACGCAAACAGCAAAGGCACTACCCCACGCAAGAGTGCTCAACTGCTACAAGAGCAGGAGCGAAATATATCTACATGTACAGCACTTCTTTGTTTTTAAATCTTCGGCTACAGTAGTATGACTACCACTGTATTCGCTTCACTTGGGGATGAGACATGGGGAAGTTGCCATGGGGAAGTCGCCGTGCTGAGGTGTGAACCCTCCTCTCCGTACCGGAAGTAGAGCTCGCTTGAGTCATCTCTACTGGGTGAAGAGGACCAATCCTTATTCTTATATTCTTTTATTCCACAATGGCGTGACGCCAATAAGGAAGATTGATAAGTGTGGTAGAACTGATACTAGCCAGAAACAGCTAGATGGAAATTACCCAGGGAGGAAAGAAGCAATGGATCAGGAAAAAGCAAGCGGGGTCAATAGCATCTGGAACAAGTTGGAGTCATTCGGCTAGTTTTTATGACTATGAGGTCGGCCAGAGAGCGCATGCGATGGGATTTGAGCTTCACGTAAATCAATGAAAATACGATATTACAGGTGGCGCTCTGTGCTCAGGCTGCGCACAGGGTGCTCAATGTCCGGTCGACAGGGCCAGCAACACAAGCAGTCTTCCTTCCGAAGAGAACTTTGCGAATTGGTTGCAGCTGCATTGCTGTGCGTCTTTTCTAGACGTACACTGCAAGTAGATGTACGGTGCTGGCAACTGAAATCCGACACCCCCTACCCTCTCGTACGAATCGCTAACGCGGCTAGCGCACCGCTAGGGGGGTCGGATTTCAGTTGCCAGCACTGTAGTTGCGGAGATGTTGCAATTCCCGAGGTAGATGTAGAAGATGGTGGCTCCTCTAAACGCTGAAGCCGACTGACCGACATTCATAGGACTCACGACAGCTGTGTGGGCTGTCTGGAACACACGAGGAGAATGTCAAAATTAGACCGTCCGTTCTGCAAACCTGCAAAAAGGCACCACTGCCTGCCAGCATTTTTGCAGTATTGGTCTCTAAAGATGGGGCTACTCTGTGAGCAACAGTCTCCCAGACCCATGCTGCAGAGAGCAGTCACCCTGCCCATCTAATCTGTCTACAGAGTACTCATGGTACGTGTAGATCTACGGCTGAGTGTCCAAAGCGGAAACCCGATCCTCACATGAATCCAGTTTGAGCCCTGCGCCACTGGGGTGACCCAGTTCATATCCATCTCATTGACATTGTTCGATGGTCTAGGGCTGCACAGCGCCCGGCTCGGCGTGGACTCAATGGTACAATCATCATGTAAAACTACTTGTAATAATACCCGGCCCTGAGTTCAGCGCGTTCTACTTCATTTTTCAGTGAGCAGTATTGTACAATCGACGTCACAAAAAAAGAACATTTTAAAAGTTTTCTGAATTTTCACGTCACAACATTAACAGTCCTGTTCACTCTCAGAACTAGTCTTCTACTTGAACTGTTCTTCTTCGGATTTTTGCATTGCTTTTGTCCTTTTGTTTTGTGTGTGCACTTCTTTAGCGGGATGATGAACGGATCACAGGTGCAGACCAATGTCAGTTGGGACTTGCTTGTGCATCCAATATTGGATGGGTCATACGCAGGAACGTACGTCTGCGTTGCCGGAAAGAACGAATCTCACGAACTCTATCAGCTGAACATTGTCGGTAAGCGTCAAACTTAGGTGGATTAGTAGATTAGGGTACATACTGATTTATTTGGGAATGCCTTTACAGTGGCATACCTGGTCCACCCGCAGAGGGGGGGAGGATAGGCTCCATCTGTACCACATGTAGGGTGCACCTCTGGCTTCAGAGCAGGCATTGGACAGCGATCCCAAACCCCGGAATTGGCCTAAATAAAAATGTACATGCTAGATAAAGGTCAACAGTTGTTATGGGGCGCACCTACCCTTGCGCCCCTCATAGCCTACGCACCTACCCTTGCGCCCTTCATAGCCTACGCACCTACCCTTGCGCCCCTCATAGCCTACGCACCTACAATCATGTGCATTGTATGGCACACAGAAGCGAATGTAACGAAGCCACTTGTTTTTGTTTTCGATTATAGTGCGTTGCTTCAACAGCACAATGTACAACTTCTAAGAGGGTCGAACATCTGGTGACTCTAATGAGGCCTATTTTAACCTAGCTTCTCGAATCAGTACGCGTTGAGAATGTAGTCTAGCTCTTGGCGGGTAGTGCTAAAAAAATCGACAGATTCTGCTTGAAAAGCGGTCAAGTTGGCACAACCATGCAAACCGTATGGCAGGCACTTCCTTGAAATCTGCTCCATTTCTTTATCCGCGTACCAAACACGTGCAAAACATACCAGAAAAATACCTAACTCTGCAACTTCTCTCTGCCAGCAGTATCCGCAAAGAGCTAGTACAAGCTCAACTTCCTAAGCTGCTTGACCTCATAATATCTTCTACTAAATTTAACTTAAAGCTGTAGAAAAGAAAAAAAGGACCAAGGAACTACAAGTTACGCTATAATGTCCACTAACACCACCAGTTACTAACCAATCAGCTCGTAAAGTTTCTATAAATTTATCCTTGGCTCTCCATCCGAGTCCATTCTTGCACACCTCATGAGCCATCCTTAACTCTGAAAGCTTTCGATTTTTGGCATGTTCTGCTTTTCTGGATATCAAAACAAGCAAACGACTTTACAGACTAAACACATCCACATTAATTTTTATTGTAGAAAGGAAAAGGACATATGGATACGAGTTAAGAGTAACTCTCCATCACTGTAACTGGATACTATTATACAGTCAGAAAGTGCAATAACTAGGCACAAAACTGACAAAAGTACTGAGACATTCGACGTCCTGACACCTAGCTTCAACACATCTCCGTAGCGTATAATAGTATCCAGTTACAGTGATGGAGAGTTACTCTTAACTCGTATCTATATGTCCTTTTCCTTTCTACATTTATTTATGGCTCAACATCCGAGTTTCACATTTTTATTGAATAATTATAACAAGTTCAAAGGGTAACATATACACAATGGATGGAAATGCAATACAACTGAAAACCCAGAAAACAAGAAAGGGAAATATATAACTTGGCCCAAAAGCAAAAATAATTTGTGATTAGCACTGTCACGTGACTGTTTCGTTAGACCGGGCCAATCACAGATCTGTATGAGCGAGCAAGAAATCAGTCCAACGACCGCGTCCAAAGCCCGTCGTCCGTGCCAACCCTGACGGACACTGCAAGCTGTACTGCTGTACTCCAGCACTGGACCCGTGAAATCTACGGGATTTGAACACGGTGACTGTGTACCTGGTATCAAGAGTATAATATATATATAACCCCCCAGGAGTTATAATACTCTTGCTGGTATGTGTAGGGCTCCCTGGTGTACAGTGCATGCAGTGTACATGTGAACACGTGTTCGAAAGTGGCGATCTCAGCTTTCCTTTTTCTTTCCTTTCAAGTGTTGCTGCACACGAGGTCGACTTTCTCCTTTAGTTTTGATTCTTTCAGGTTAGTGTCTTCAGTAATGTTAGGCTGAAAGTGATAAATTCATTAAGGCTTGGTTGGTCGGGCATTAATGGATTTCCAGTGCCCTCCAAGTGAGCTCTCAGGTCTACGGCCCTCGGGCTCACTTGTCGGGCACTGAAAATCCATTATTGCCCTCCCAACCATGCCATAGTATGTGATGTAATACCACTCCAAAAATACAGCAGCACCAAATACAGATTAAAATACAAAAAAAATACTTAGATTGTTTCTCTTGTGATGTTGAACATTCTTTTCGTGCTTGTCTAGCCACGCTTCAGAGCCTGGCACCTACCAGCGCAGACCTGATAGTCTCCTACTCCAGGCGACTGCAGGACGTGGAGTGCGCAGCTCGCGGGTCCACTGCGTTGGCGGCGTCGTGGAGTATGAACTACTCGGGCCACACCACACACACCAGCATGGATCCGGTGACGGGAACCTACACGGCTAGGGCCATGCTGTTGTTCGTCTCGGCCGAGGTGGCCGACTGGGCAGATGCCGATGGCAACGCAACATCAGCCGAATCGGACGTGTTTATCTCTGCCGTGTGCACAACGTTCTACGAGACGTTCACCTGCTCCCCGGGCCTGGTCCCTGCAGTTGTGGCGAACTGTGATGCTGTGCCACGGAGCAGCAAAACCTTGCTGACAATCCAAATCACCGGTGAGAAAGTAAAAATGAATAGATGGAATATTCAGATGTTGAAGGAATGGAAAAGGGAAAAAGTTTGAAGAAACAATTGACTGTCACCACCAGGATTCGAACCCGGGACCTTCGCTTGAGGCCAGCGATGCTCTACAATAACCACTGAGCTATGGTATAGCTGTGATCCCAGCAGGATCAGTTCAACATTTTCTTCACACTTCGAAAGAATGAAAAGAGGCATTAAAAAAACCCAAACTTGCTCCATTGCTTGATGCTTGCAGTTCTGAAACTCTTTGCTGAAGACCCTGGCCTCTAGAGCTATAAATCATCAAAGCCCGCTGATAGTAGTGTGAGGGATAAGGCTGATGTCCCTATGACTAAAGATAGTTTGCCGCTATTGAAATCATTTTTTTTAATTGTTTTATAATTATACTCGAATGGAGAGCCAAGGATTAATATTATTTATAAAAAGTAAATTGGACCAAGGAACTAGAAGTTACACTATAATGTACACTAACACCACCAGCTACTAAACAATCAGCTCATGCGATAACATTGCACGACACTGAGTCCCAGGGGCGTAGCCAGGATCATGGTCAAGGGGGGGGGGGGGGGTGCCCATAGTTTTCTTCCAAAAACGTTCTTTTGAGGAATCTTGTACATGTATGCATATTGTATGCATGCTAGTGCGGTGTACACCTTGAATTATTTATGTATTATGAATGTCTCCAGCTTGCCATTCCAACAATCTGCTTCCTCCGCGTCACTAAAATTGTTGCTTCCCGGAGAGATTTTTCGAATTTATTTTGTCCACTCGAGGGGCAAAGAAATCAGCTAGAAATTGAGGCAGAGCGTTGTCGACGGACCAAGCTTTAGTTTGTGGCCTCCCGCTTCGCTGCACTTGCAGCTAAGGTCGACGTCTTCATCAGATTTTGAGGCAGACCCTTCAGCAGACGCGCGTTCAAATTCATGTCAAGAAACTTCGTTTTCAAGCAATCCATGCCTCCAGGTGGCAGGGGATGAAGGCAAGCTAGCATTTTTCAAGTACACTGTAACGACCTTCCAGCGGGGTAGGGTAAGCAGTTCCGCACCTTCTTTCCTTGGCAAGCGTTTCGCTGATTTTTTCGGTGTTTTCAGACCTGCTACCTTCGCAGCAACATGCGCCAAACGTAGCGCATTTTGGGAATTTGAGACACTTTGTTCATGGAGTAACTAATACTTGCACACTGACTGCAACGGAAAAGTGCAAGCACGTGTAGTACAATGCAGTACTCGCAGATCTACGTAGCATGCACCCAGTCTGGGCTGAGGGCAGTCGCGGTTGTTTGATCATACAATGCATGCCAAGCCAGACCCATGGTCGAAATTTTTGAGGGGGGTGCTTTGGCACCCAAAGCACCCCCCCCCCCCCTGCCTACGCGCCTGCTGACCGACGCCCCAGTTAGAACGTCAGTACCATCGGCCAGCGTCGTGCAATGTTATCACATGAGCTGATTGTTTAGTAACTGGTGGTGTTAGTGGACATTATAGTGTAACTTGTAGTTTTCCTTGGTCCTTTTTTGCTTTTTATAATTATACCGTAATAAATTTGAACATCACTCTGAACTCGTGTACTGATCCAATAGTACAATGAAAAATAAGAAAGAACACATGAACAAACGGCGAGGAGACAATAATTACATAACCGCAATCAATAAGACAAGCTGAATCGACATTTGTATAATACTTTATTCATGCAATGTAAAACGGTGAAGACAATGTGTAATAAAACAATCCTATTTTCTTCGTTTTATTGCACAGTGTCTCCACCGTTTTACAAAGCATGAATAAAGTATACACAAATGTCGATTCAGCTTGTCTTATTGATTGCGGTTATCAAAGAACACATAATTGCTAGTTATGAGTAAGCGTAGTGAACAGTTACTCACACCTCGAATATCACGTTCCTCCTCCTTTTTTGTGCCACCTACCTACCACTTTTTGTTGGACAGCATTGTTTTTGCTAGGCTTGCCTTCAATTAAATTCAGTCACGATTCTCCAACTAACGGAAGTGACATGAAAATCGATTCTGGAAAACCTTTTGACTTCGTCGATGCATGGCGATGACGGCAGAGTAAGTTCTATTCATTCCGTTATTAAAATCACTTTCTTCGTTTTCCCCTTCTTCTTGAAAAGGTATTGGGTGCTCCGGTCCACCTCTACACAGCAACATTGCTAACGCATCGACATGGACTCCGGCGCGTATCGGTGAGGTGCGTAACACCTCTTGCCCTCCAGGGTATCGACAGGTCGGGAACATCAGCACCACCGCATGCGTGCACGTCGACACCTGGCTCCCTCTTCCGCAGTGTGTTGGTTAGTTCTATTCTGCAGAATATGACTTGTTACTACTCTTAGACTCAAAATAATCACGTTAATCGAAACGGCCTCTGGGAATCCTTGAAATAAATTATACGACTTTGTCATTTGAAAGTGTAAAGACACACAAACGGTCCTTGGCTACAGCACGTACAGTATTGTCCAAATTGTTCACCCAGGAGGGCACCATCAGGGATCACGGTCCCTGTTGATGCCCTCCTGGGTGACAAATTTGGACAATGTACTGTACGCGGTGTAGCCAAGGACTGTTTATGTGTTGCGAGTTGGGTATACTGAAAATATGACAAGGTTTACAGTGGAGTTTCAAAGTTCTTAAAAAAAGTGTAAAGAGCTATGAAGAGTTTGAATATGATCATAGTTCTCTTTACCAATACTCGACAGGAAGAGCATTTATTCGGTGAATAAATTCGTCCCGCTCCAAAGAAAAGGAGTTTGTCCTGTTGAAAATTTAGCCCCCCCTCCCCCCCCCCCCCCCTCCCGCCCCTACCTACTGGAACCAGGAGCACAAAATGTCAGGCGCGAACTGATGGTGGTGGCGGTGGCGAGAAGGAGAGCTCTGTGCCAGAACTTTGCAGCTTGGAGAGCGTGTGTGGGCAGGCGTGTGTTCACCGCCATATTGCCAGGTGTGTCTTTACCCCCATATTTATCAACCAAGTGTATTCTTACTATTCGGCCAATAAAATGTAAAGAACTCTTCCTCTCCTGTGTATTCTTGATATAAAAATACGGTGAAACGCTGACAAGACCTACCCTCAAGGGCGTGCCACAGGACACTGTGCTGGACTTGGTATCCGAGGTACTTCTGATCCAAACATGGGCTTCTGTAACCAGTATGGATCTACTTCGTATCCAAATATGGGCTTCTGTAATCAGTATGGATCTACTTCTTATCCAAACATGGGCTTCTGTAATCAGTATGGATCTACTTCTTATCCAAACATGGGCTTCTGTAACCAGTATGGATCTACTTCTTATCTAAACATCGGCTTCTGTAACCAGTATGGATCAATACATCCCGGCCTGCTCCGGATATTATAATATCAATAATTGATATGAGCAGGGGTGTGTTGATTAGCAAAAGAAGTGCGTACTACGTGAGGTCGACTGCAGCACACTTTGAGGAACTTTGACGAACTATGAGGATGTGGTGATTGCTCCCAGCCACGTCTTCTGCACATCCACAACTCAGTTCACTGTATTGTTATCGACGTTTCGGCAAGTTGCCATCATCAGGATGCAATATGCAGTGAAAGCCTGCTGAGGAGCAGTTATTCCCGTAGCTATGCAGAAGCTAGCCAGGGTCCACACAGCTTTAATTTGGTGTTTGTTTGTTTGTTTGTGTGTTTGTGTCACGCCTGGTGCTATCCCGTATCTGTCCCGTACCGTACCAGCAAAGACAGCTGGCCACAATACTTTTATTTGTTTGTGCCATCGACATGCCTGGCGCTATCCCGTACCTGTCCCGTACCATCAAGAGTACGGTACCATCAAGAGAATGAGTATATATGCGAAGTGTATCGGGGGAATGCATTCAGTGCAGTAACATTTTATGTGGATTTGTGTGCGAGGCCGAGATCCCACTAGCAGGCTGGCTGGGCCGCCTGTCGACCAGCCCGGGAATGGCATGTAGGCCGATAGCATAACAATTATAACGTATATACAGTCGTGTAGATGTATAGCAGGGAGTCATATTATGTAAACGACTCCCTGCTGTATGGGGAGATTTTCTGGAAAGAAATACGAAGTAGGGAGACGAGTAAATGCAATCAAAATGGATGTTAGTTGCCGTCAGTATGATAATAAGAAGAAGAAGAACGCCCGTGATCGGCAGAGTCAGCGCCGGGGCCAGGAAACGCCAGGACCGACATCCCGTCGACTCCAGAACGCCCGTGATCGGCAGAGTCAGCGCCGGTCCCATACCTTTGCAGCAGACGTTACTTCAGTAACTCATTGAAACGTTTTTGCAATACAATGATGTAGCTAATAAAAGGAAAAAGCATTTCCATCAGTTCTAACAACATGCACGACGAGCTAGGCAACAAAGCATAGCGCAGGGCCCTGAGCTTCCAAGCTCTCTCGTATGCAATGATTTGGTGTTTTTTTTCCACCCCTTCTCTTCGAGTTATGAAGCTGCAGGTTGCCTCACGAATATAATGTATCTTCTCTTTGCCTGTTTCAATGCAGACATAAACGAGTGCTTGTCAAGCCCATGCCCATCGACAACGAGCGTGTGTCGTAACACGGCCGGATCTTATCTATGCCTGTGTGCACAGGCCCTTCACTCTGGACAATCTGCAACCGGTAACTGCATGATTATGCAATACATGTACATGACTGTATAACATTAGAAATGCCACACACACACACACACACACGCATGCACGTACACACGCACCCACCCACCCACCCACCCACCCACACCCACACCCACACCCACACACACACACACACACACACACACACACACACACACACACGTACACACACACGCACACACACACACACACACACACACACACACACACACACACGCGCACGCACACATACACATATACACACACACAGATATGCGGATGCAGCTCCGTGCATATTGTCTCTCTCTCCCTGTTGGTATCGGTTTCTCTCTCTCTCTCTCTCTCTCTCTCTCTCTCTCTCTTTCTCTTTCTCTTTCTCTTTCTCTCTCTCTCTCTCTCTCTCTCTCTCTCTCTCTCTCTCTCTCTTCCTCTCTCTCTCTCTCTCTCTCTCTTTCTCTTTCTCTTTCTCTTTCTCTCTCTCTCTCTCTCTCTCTCTCTCTCTCTCTCTTCCTCTCTCTCTCTCTCTCTCTCTCTCTCTCTCTCTTTCTCTCTCTCTCTCTCTCTCTCTCACTCATTTACTGTTCTTCTTATGTGCTGTATAACACTACCAAAGCAGCCATACACACATTTTTTTCTCCATTAAACTATGGTGGTGGCAAGCGATATCCGATGCCTGATTTCCGTGCTCGCGTGCAGCACCGATTCTAGCGGTCTCTACTGCGTAGTGCTACATATGCAAGCGAGTGCTGGGTCTCAAGTTGCAATGCTAGGGCATCGATTTGTGGTCGCATTTCAGTTGCCCCCACTGTAAAAATCCACTTATACGGGCAGGTTGGGACCGTGCACCACCAGTAACTAGGAATTGCCCCTCACGGACTCAGAACATATACCGTGAAGTCGCGGATAAAAGCCGGGTTTGCATACGAGCACATCGCGGATAGAAGCCTGAAAATCAAACAAGTCAAATGCATATAAGCCTGTCGCACGTAGAAGTCTGGCTTCTATGCAAGCGCGGATCGGGTAGGTCAAGAGTGCATGCGCTATGCATGGTGCATAGTAAAACTGCCGCCATACCGGTAGTCAGTGGTAGATCTACGCGTGTCGCGCGTAGAAGATGTGCATACAAGCCTGGCAAATTTTTTTAATATCAGTGGTGCATATAAGCATGGTTTGCATACAAGCCTGGTTTGCATTAAAGCCTGATGCAGAAAGCGGCTTATATGCTTATAAGCCCGGCTTTTATCTGCGACTTTATGGTAACTATATACTTGCTGTATACAAGTATGGACTCGGATGGAGAGCCGGGGATATATTTGTGGAAAAGAAAGGTCCTTGGTGCTTTTTTTGTTGTATGCAAGTAGACCTGTTTTATACCAATCGATAGTTTTAGCGGCTGTTCACTGAAAACTAGTGAAAGTCCGATTTTTGCGACTCGAGAGAGGTCAGAAGGGTGCCCGGTAAACACACGTGCAATTGCACCCTAGTGAACGAGAGAGCTTGGAAGCTCAGGGCCCTACGCTATGCTTTTTTGCCTTGATGACCTAGGAAGTAAATTTTTCATTTCTCCTATTTTTTTCAGACATAACCTGGGATTCGAACCTGCACTATCGCCCTGCATGCATCCCCCGATACACTTCGCATACATGCTAATTCTTCCAAGTTGCTTCATGTTACTAACTTATGATCTTGCATTTGAAAGCCCTATTTGAATATTGTGGCCAGCTGTTTGTGGCCAGCCGTCTTTATTGTTATCACTCTTCTATATCGACCACCACTAATTCTCGTGATCCTTGACTGGTCCTATGTATAGGATAGTGCACGGATCCGAGGAGAATATTTTTCATAATCCCCAAGGCGCGCAGCGCCGCGGGGATTATGAAAAATATTCTTCCGAGGACCAATCCGTGCACTATCTGTATATAGCTCGACTTGTCAGGGGTCAGCGCAGCCATCACGCGTGCACGGTACACAGTTGTTGGCTTTCACACTTTTTCAGTTGTAAGCAGGGAGTACAGTACTCAGTAGTACTTTTTCAAGCTCAAAAAAAAGGAAAGGCAAGCTTGCAAGCAAGGAAACATGACACAGGAACAAAACACAGGAACAAAACACAATCTGACAAATGAAAAACAATGCTTGTACTAACTTTAGTAAGGGAGTAGTACATTGGTATTGTCAAGAGTACTCTTGGTATTGTACTACTCCCTGGTTGTAAAACTAAACACCTCCATATGGGCTCTCTGCTGCAAGAAAAGAAGAATGAAGTACTGTCAATTTTCACTTGTTGCCAGCCTTGCATTGCTTGCCCTTGTTGTTGCAGTTGTCGAAGATACTTTGAAGTAATTTTTTTATCAACATCATGGAAGACGTTCTATCCCTCTACGCTGACAGCGATTCCTCATTTGAGAATATATGTTGCTCCATGGTGGAGGAAGCTGCCAGTGGTGCAGCCGCAAAGTTGGTGGAGACCGACTCATCATTCGATGACCTTTGTTGCTCCCTGGTGGAGGAACAAAGCATGCTGGCTGACGCGGAAGAGGTGCTTGACGCCGATATGGACGAGCCGGCCACAACGCCAAGTTCTGAGTCTGCCCATGTGACCTCAGCCCAGCCTTCATCGTCCCGATTTGTCAGGGTCACGGACAACGAGGTGTCAGATAAGGCCGAAGCGTCCGTTCCCGTCAACACCAGGAGGAAGATGAAGTGGGCTGTAACCATATGGGATGAGTGGCGGAAAAGTCGAACGGACACATATCCCAATGAGATGCTGGTGGCTGCCGTGAAAGCGCCAATATGGGAGGTTGGCGACATCGAGCTGGTTTGGCTACTCCAGCGATTTGTTTTGGAGATCAGGGACCAAAAAGGCCAGAAATACCCGGGTAAAACTGTCCACGAAATAATTGTAGTCGAACTGCAGCGCGCAGTGCGCGAAAAGCGGCCAAGCTGTGCCTTCTTCAACTCCTTTGAGTACAAGGGATTTCAGGATGTGATGGACACATGCATGAAGGAGTCCGCCAGAACGTCTGCAGGTCAACGCCGCCAAGCGCAGCCGATCTGGCCAAAGGACGAGGACAAGCTCTGGGAAGCTGGCGTTCTCGGTAGTGACCAGCCCCAGCAGCTGCTGGATACCGTGTTTTTCTTGGTTGGGAAGAATTTCGCTCTGCGAAGTGGCGAAGAGCACCGATCCCTCAGATATCTGCCGAACTCGCAGATAACCCTCCATGAGCCTGAGGATGGCAGATCTTATCTGCTCTATACGGAGGAAGTGTCGAAAACCAATCAGGGCGGGCTTAAAAGCCGCAAAGTCCAGCAGAAGTCTGTCCGTGCTTATGACAACCCCAGCTGCCAACCTCGATGCCCGGTTGCCATATTCAAGAAGTACGTAGCAAAGCGACCGAGTGAAGCTCCAGCATTTTACCTGAAGCCTTTGCAGAAGCCAACGGAGCAAACGTGGTTCGGCAATGTGCCTCTTGGGAAGAACACATTGCGATGTATGGTTGCAGATATCTGCAGCAGAGGTGGCCTCAGTGGGTTCTTCACGAACCATTCCTTGCGGCGGACGTGCGCTACACAACTGTACGACAACGGAGTTGATGAACAGACGATTAAGGAGGTGACTGGACACCGCAGCGACGCTGTGCGGCAGTATAAGGTCACCTCTGAGAAAAAACAGATGGCAACATCTGACATCCTCAACCGTTGTCAGGACCAGCCAGCACAAGAACCCTGCAAGCCAAAGACAACAGTTGCGCGGGAAGACACCGACAGTGAAAATGACTCGGCACTCCCCAACCGTAAGCGTTGCCGGGCCCTGACCAGCATTGGCAATGTGTATGCCGCGGAGGGTGCCACAGTTGTCATCAAGCTGTCGTGACTCACTCTTGTTTTAGTTGCCTGGCATTCCTCTGTTTTCTTTCTTTTCCAGTCCTGATCTTTTTATATTGCTATTGTTTTGTAGTGGGAGTTCAGGCCCCACATGTTTTTGCGTTTATTCTTGTAAGTCCTGATCTGTGTTTTTTTTCTCTTTACATTGCCTCAGCCTGTTATGGTTTTCTTCTGGTGGGAGTTCAGGCCCCACATGTTGTTTTTGCGTGTACTCTTGTAAAGTCCTGATCTGTGTTTTTTTCTTCTCTGTATTTTGCCTCAGCCTATTATGGTTTTCTTCTTGTTCTGGTGGGAGTTCAGGCCCCACATGTTGTTTTGCGTGTACTCTTGTACATGTAAGTCCTGATCTGTGTTTTTTCTTCTCTGTATTTTGCTTCAGCCTATTATGGTTTTCTTCTTTTTCTGGTGGGAGTTCAGGCCCCACATGTTGTTTATGCGTGTACTCTTGTAAGTCCTGATCTTTTTCTCTTTACATTGCCTCAGCCTGTTATGGTTTTCTTCTTGTCCTGGTGGGAGTTCAGGCCCCACATGTTGTGTACTCTTGTAAGTCCTGATCTGTGCGTTTTTCTCTTCGAATTTTCTCAGCCTATTGATTTATGGGTTTTCACTCGTCTGGTTTACTAAAAAAACATTAACCAACCCTCTACAACTACAAGTCTTGTAAATGGATTGTCTTTTGGGAAGGGGGCGAGGGGATGGGCAGTATGACCAGTGTTCAGTTTCCATGGCAACATTGTTGTTGACATCGAGATGCGGGCGTGTTGGATTTCTTGCGAATTCAAAATACAAAGAACAACATTTCTCTTGTTTAGGTTCCATAGTAAACCTATTTACGATACAATACAATGTATTTTCTTTCATTTGTTGTTCAGTTCCCATGGCAACGTTGTCATTGACGTTGCAGACATACATGTATCTTGTTGCCAATTATTCACGAGTAGCTGTAATTGCACGTTCACATCCATGTTCATCTAATACAAAAAACATAATCACGGTGCTCATGTAAGAGTTTTGTAAATATGTCCACTTGTTCAATTACCTTCCTATAATAAGACCATTTGATTGAGAATTCACACAGCGCTTCCAGGCTGGCTCTTTGGGGTTTGTTTGGCTAGCTTGCTTTGGCCTACTCTCGCTAGGTATAGTGAGAGCAGTCCAAAGTCTTGGGCTCTTTCCCCTCACCTAGGGGATTATGAAGAATAATCCCCTGGGTCAGGGGATTATCAGCCCTAGAACCCCTGACAAGTCGAGCTATATTACCCATATCGCCGCAATATCGACCGCTTATATCGACCGCTTGTATCGACCACTGAGGCATTGTAATCTTTCGACTTTAGAGGGACTTAGAATTTTTCTCTCCACTTCAAAAAGAAAAATTGAAAGAAGACAAAGGAAGAGAACAAGCAGGATTCGAACTCACAACAGTATGAACCTCAAGCAACCCCTTATACCACCCAGCCACTGTGCTGCAGATGCTGAACCCTGTTGTTCTTACCGTCTTGTACCCAAAATAGGCAACATCTTATGTACACTATAGTACAAATGCTATACTAAAACGGTTACAATAGCTCCTAAAGGTTCAAATTTTAGAGTTATGGCAAAGGAATCGTGATAAATAGGATATTGACCTCGACTTCGGTCTATATGGGAAATATAGGCCGAGTAAAAGACCTCGGCGGACCTCGGTCTTTTACTCGGCCTATATTTCCCATATAGACCTAGTCATATCCTATACGTACGGTACGGTATGGGCCAGGTACGGTCGAGGGTAATACGGCACCGTCTACCACCTTGATAACCTAGGCAAAAAAGCATAGGGATGTTATACATTTTTCAATTCTCCTTTTTTTCAAGGCATAACCTGGGATTCGAACCCGCACAATCGCCCTACATGCATTACCCGATACACTTCGCATTCATACTCATTCTTCCAAGTTGCTTCACGTTATGATCTTGCGTGTTATAGCCCTATTTGAATATTGTGGCCAGCTGTTTGTGGCCAGGTCTCTTTGAAGGTACGGTACGGTACGGGACAGATACGGGATAGCGCCAGACGGAGGCCCGTCCGCCACGAACAAACACCAAAATTAAAGCTGTGTGAACCCTGGCTAGCGCCAGACGTTACTGAAGTAACGTCTTCTGCATAGCTACCGGAATTAAACTTCCCTGCTGGCCAGAGGGGAGAATGTGACTGCCAGTACAATGTGATTTGCAACTCATAAAGCTACATTAATGTGTAGAATGAAACGAAACACTATGGCAGGCACATAAAAATGGTTGACCATTTAAAAAAATTTAACCGGGCAACGACTTGTGATTGAGTGGTCTTGCATGCATCAGTATCACATAACCATACGGGAAAGCCATGTTAGTTCCAACTCTACGCTACTCCCTTTGCCTATGGGGCACATTAATTTAAAAGTCGGCCATGTTGGTTCCAACTTTCACATGACATGATCACTTTCTTCAAAAATTAGTCACATGACAAGGATGTGAAACCCACTATAAGATTGTGTGACAAAGCAGCTTTGGCAAAGTGTCGACCATTGTTGCCACCAGCCGCCATGCATTTTTGTAATATTCAAGCAATTTTTGCAATATTCCTTTCCTCCCGCATTTCTGCTTTGTAGACGCAACTGCACCCTCTGACACTGCTGTCACTGTCCCCAGTGCTTGCAGCGTGACTCTGTACTTCGCCTCGGCGGCTGGAGGCTTTGCACTGGGAATCATCACCATCCTGATTATCATGCTACCGGTCATGAACAGCTTGCATGCGGCGTCCATCAAAACACTACAGGACGCTCAGCCATTGCAGGAGGAACAGAAGGTAGAGAGGGCACAGGTGGCCGCGGACACGGAGACCTCCAATCCCGCCTACGCCCTCATGCGATGGATCCGAGTGTCCAAACGGAAGAATGCGTACAGGATGAGCACGATCGAGTGCACAGAGGTGCCCGGCGTGAATACGATGCCAGCAAGACCGCCGGCCAACGTTCCTGAGGACTATCTCTCACTCTTCTGATCTGCCCATTGCAGTGGAACAACCCCTCCTTTAAAAAAAACCCTCAGGTGGTCAGAGTTTTGCCCGCGTTCGGCGGGGTTGGCTTCGTAACTTCTCAGGTCGCTTTTTCGTACACTTTCCATGTAGGCAAGACACAAAGAGCCTTTGTTCTCTCACTTGTTCTATGCAGTGTGGCATTCGTTCTATAGATTGTACTATTTTACATGTATGACCTCGTACCATGAAAATAGAAAGCATTTGTCTATGCTTCCTGACAATCACTTTATGCAGTTGGGCCGCCTGTGTATTGCGGCTGATGATGTGATGCTGGTGGATTTGGGCATTGCATTTACCGGTAGCCTTAGGTACCGGTAACTGTTTTCACGCTCACTGTCTTCATCTATGCAGTCATGCACATATAGTTGTATAAGAATTGGTATTCGTTTGCAATAGTTTGGATAATGATGTTTCTGTCGTCGCTGGCAACTTGTACCATTTGGGCTCAGGACCGGCGCAAGCTGTTTTTGATTGGTCCGGCCCTGCCCTAGCCTTTCATACAGTTTGTGGAGGGTATACACATGACCTCATCTGCAGTAAACACATTCATATTGAAGTTAGTTTGTCCGGCCATGGCCTGACCAACCGGACCGGTTTGTCCGGGCCTGATTCAAGATGTGTGGTATGATACATCAGTTTGCAACTCCGACACTGTCGCTGAGTCGCTGACCTCGTCAAACTCCAAAGAGTGTCATGGCAGCCTTTTATTTGGCCAGCCATACGACTACAAGTAGATCTATCAGGGGGGGGGGGGGGGGTAGACTCAGGCGCGTGCCCCGTATGAGTTCCTGGGTGCCCGGAACCCCCTTTTTCGCTCAAAATGCAGGATTTTGCTTCATTTTTTGAAAATTTTCCGGGGAGGCCCCTTGAAGGGCACGGCGCACGGCGCACGCGCCTGAGACTGTACAGTGTAGGCTTGCAGCATGCAACAGATCTGCAGACTAGGGTTATAATATAATTATAGTAAAATATTAGGATCTAGGAGCCGCTCGCTGCCGGCGCTCAATCACCATGATCACATGTGCATGCATCGGTGGCTGAGTGGCTGTCTACCCTACTAGGGAGGTTCTGCTCTACGTTTTGGGAACGCGACGCAAAGAATCACGCGAACTTTCTTCGCGTTCCCGTTACGTAAAGAAATGCTGTTCTGCTCTACGTTTCACCTAGAGAAGTCACGTGGAATGTGTACTGGGAATTTCCCCTTCCATATTTGGCAGTTTTCTGCATCCAGTTGGTCGATACTAGCCTAGTAACTAGGGCTCAAACGGTTAGTCCGATTAACCGGTTGCAGACCGGTTACGAAGAATTAATGGTTAACCGATAAAGAAAACGGTCACGCAGTAACTTTTCAGTCAATTTTTCAAGTATCAGGTCGACTGAGGTCGTTGCAAAGTATGCACTTTCGCAGGCTGTTATTATGCTCAGCACCAGCACCGGGAACAGCTCTTAAACACCACCCCCGGTACCAGTCCGGATTACCTTCGACGTTCGTTCCCGTACTGTTTCCTTGAATTGTGGAACAGCCTCCCCGAGGACGTCTTTCCCCGTCTGGCCAATCACTCTCCACTCACAGCTTTTAAAAAAGGTGTCAAGAAACACATTTCAGACCAGCCATGGTCTTGGGACGTGCTTTGAAGCCCATCATGTTGATCGTCTCACTGTTCTTTCCAGATCGCACCTCTTGGTTTGGGGATGTGCATTGAAGCACCCCATACTAACGGTCTATACTGTCCTCTCTTGGTCACCACTCTCCCTATTACCTATATTGTAATTACCATTCATGTATTGCGGTTCAGATTTTCCGTTTTTGTCTCTTGGTGCGTTACCAGCATGGCGATACTGAGACCTAATGGTCAGTGGAGTGCCTGTAGCCTCACCAGCACTGCTACTATCTGTGACTATGGCGACCACCATTCAATGTCTCGTCCTCCCCTAACCGTACCCCAACTCTCTCTCTCTCTCTCTTTTTATCTCTCTTTTCTTACTCTTTTTCTTTGTCAGCTTTCCTGGTGGTTATGTGCTTTTTCAAGTAAATAAAAAAAAGAAAAAAAGGCTGTCGCACGCGTACGCAATTTCTGGGCTGCCAACTCGGTCTTATCTGGTCTCTTGGTGTGAGAGTATGTATGAATGAGCATGCAAAAGAATGTACATGTGTTCGTTGTGCTGAATAGGGTATATTTTTGAATGAGTATAGTCAAATATACGGTTAAAAAAGAGTCCGCAGGATTGCCATAGCTTGTACTTATAGGTTATACAAATAATCTACGTGGAGATAAAAGTTTAATAATAGCAATGAAAAGTATGAATGCCGCAGACATCACCACGCAACATGACAATTTGTTCAAGGTTTGGTTTTGTGTGTTTCCAAAATCGATTTTCACGTTCCGATCATCAGTGGAAATACGGAACTAAAGAGATCAAGGGAAAAACAAAGGTTAAAAATCCAAAGAAGTGTGACACATGACGGGTAACTTGTGGTAAGTTTTACAAAAAGTGAGAACTAAAATAAAGAGTAAGTGTGACAAACGGGCATGAACAGTGCAGAAACAACTCATGAACACGGGGTGCAAACTCACGAAAATAACCTAAGTGCTAAAACACCTGAGCGCACGTATCAACACCTGAGCGCACGTATCAAGCAGCATGTACCACTTCACATGCTGCCGGACGCAGCAAAAGCGAAGCGCCCGAAGCGGGGAAGACCACGCAAGAACCCGCTCCCTCTACCACCGACACAACCAGAGCAAGTCGAACACACGGTGCAGAGGAAGAGTGGTGGATCACTAAGCCAACCGAATGTGCCTTCTCCACCGTTGCCCTTGCCGCCACCGGAGCCACCACCAGTGCCGTTGGTGGCTGGGGTTTGGGAGGAGTCGGCAACAACAACAGTACCGCCAATCACAGACATTGAGCCCATTTCTTTGACACAGTATCCGGCTGTGCGGACACCGCAGCACCCTCCGGCGCTTGATCCGTGGGTCCAGAGACCACGGAGGTCGACCGCCAATTATTCAACCGAAATATATGCTAGGAATGGCCAAGGCCCACGCGGAGCATCGAAGGAGACCGGAAGCCGGGGGCAAAACGGAACACAATCTCGGGACGTAGATGAGGTAAAGACAGTGACACGGGACAGACGTAGGAAGGAGAACATGGATGGTATCAGACGACTGACTGGTGGTGAATATGAGTTGGGTGATGATGCGGCGGATGACGAGAATACAGATGACGACGAGGCGGATGACGGCGAGGATACAGATGACGACGAGGCGGGTGATGACGAGGCGGCGGATGAAGACGAGGCGGATGACGGTGAGACGGCTGGTGGTGATGGTGATAAAACGGACGAGGAGGAGTCAGGTGGCAGGGAAGGTGATGGAGCTGATGAGGGTGAAATTCGTAAGAAGTCAGCTGTGTATTTGCATTTGTTATCTCGTCCCGATTGTTTGAGTGTGTATGATGATTCCCACTTCTCTGTACTGTGTCGTGCCCGTTATGTCCAGCAGTTGAAGGTCCTTGAAGCTGTTTGTATTCGTACGCATAAGCCCGATTTGTGTAAGCAAAAAGAACATGTTTTAGCACTTAGGTTATTTTCGTGAGTTTGCACCCCGTGTTCATGAGTTGTTTCTGCACTGTTCATGCCCGTTTGTCACACTTACTCTTTATTTTAGTTCTCACTTTTTGTAAAACTTACCACAAGTTACCCGTCATGTGTCACACTTCTTTGGATTTTTAACCTTTGTTTTTCCCTTGATCTCTTTAGTTCCGTATTTCCACTGATGATCGGAACGTGAAAATCGATTTTGGAAACACACAAAACCAAACCTTGAACAAATTGTCATGTTGCGTGGTGATGTCTGCGGCATTCATACTTTTCATTGCTATTATAGGTTATAACTAAATATAACCGTTAAACCGACCGTTAGCTTAGAAGTTAACCGTTAGGGGTAAAACCGTGACCGTTTGAGCCCTAGTCGATACCCAGCAAATCCGTACACATTTTCTCTGCGTGTGCCACAACGTAGAGTCGGAACCCCATCTCCGCGTAGAAATCTGGAGCCAAAACACGCGAAGCCGTAGACTCTAACCCAGCTGCTCTCTACGTGATTTCTCTACGTTTCACATAGGCTATACCGTAGCAGAACCTCTCTAGCTCTATAATAGGGCTTGAAAGTGCTACGTCACAGCATAGCAACAATTTCAAAAATTCAAAAACTGGATCCACTTGGATCCAGTTTTTGTATGGATCCAAGCACATTTCAAGCCGTCTTACTCACAGCAAGGTGATGTAGCCAGTGAAACTGACTGATTTGGCTACTGGGGGCGGGGTTACAACTGGTAGCGAAGTAAAAGTCACCCCTGCATACGACATGAGTGGGTTGCTATGCACCCACATACTGAGGCAATAGCAAAGTCACACCTTAGGCCATGGTAAAAATTATCTTTGATTCTCAAGTACGCGCGCACCGATTTTTGGCGGCGCACCGACGATTTTTTTTATTTCTATGCATGCATATGCGCACATGAAAACGGTCAATGCGAAAGGCATGAATCAGGGAGTAGTAAAATACCGGTATTTTTCTACTCCCTGGCCTGAATAAAAAATTATATGAACCTGTGACGTACATATGTGTGACCCTATCTTTGGAAATAAAAAAATTGTGGGAAATAAAATAAAAAATCGCTCGCTCGCACCGATTTTCACAGGCTCATGACCTGAGAATCAACTTTATTTTTTACCATGGCCTTACAGTCCATTCATAAAAAGATGGGTCCTGGCTCTGGCGAGCTCCCGTATTTGGCGATTTTTCGTGATTTCATCGTACACAGTGCAGTGCTGCGAACTTTGAAATTTGAAAAAGGGTCCAAAAAGGGTGCCTGAACTGGGGTTCGAACCGCAGAATGCACTGTTGCAGGCGGGGTCAAACGGCCTGGATTTTGATGGTTTTTCCTAATTCAGTGTTTTTGGGGCAAAACCTGGCCGAAATCCTATTCTTGCTATGGCTTGCTTTTTGGACAAAAAAACTTCAGAAACATAATTGGAAGAGGATTCCATATGGGATTGCAGAAAAAAATTCTAAAAAAACTCAACGTTTGACCCATCTATGGCCAAAAGCTAGAAGTTCATTTTTTTCTGAATGGACTGTAGTGGATCCAAAATAGAAATCTGATGTCAACTTACTACTCCCTGGCCGTTTTTGACGTCATCACTTTCAAGTATCTAATATTGACTGAGTACGAGGTCAATATAGGAAATAAAAGCCGAGTAAAAGACCGAGGCGAAGCCGAGGTCTTTTACGGGGTTTTTATTCCCGTAGCTATGCAGAAGACGTTACTTCAGTAACGTCTGGCGCTAGCCAGGGTCCACACAGCTTTAATTTGGTGTTTGTTTGTGTGTTTGTTTGTTTGTGTCACGCCTGGCGCTATTTTGTATCTATCCCGTACTGTACCGTACCAGCAAAGACAGCTGGCCACAATATTTTTGTTTGTTTGTGCCATCGACATGCCTGGCGCTATCCCGTACCTGTCCCGTATCATCAAGAGTACGGTACCATCAAGAGAATGAGTATATATGCGAAGTGTATGGGGGGAATGCATTCAGTGCAGTAACATTAAATTTTGTGTGGATTTGTGTGCGAGGCCGAGATCCCACTAGCAGGCTGGCTGGGCCGCCTGTCGACCAGCCCGGAAATCGCATGTAGGCCGATAGCATAATAATTATAACGTATATACAGTCATGTAGATGTATAGCAGGGAGTCATATTATGTAAACGACTCCCTGCTGTATAGGGAGATTTTCTGGAAAGAAATACGAAGTAGGGAGACGAGTAAATGCAATCAGAATGGATGTTAGTTGCCGTCAGTATAATAATGATAATAATAATAATAATAATAAGAAGAAGAAGAACGCCCGTGATCGGCAGAGTCAGCGCCGGTCCCAGGAAACGTCAGGACAGACATCCCGTCGACTCCAGAACGCCCGTCATCGGCAGAGTCAGCGCCGGTCCCATAGCTATGCAGAAGACGTTACTTGTACTTCAGTATCTCATTGAAACGTTTTTGCAAAACAATGATTTAGCTAATCAAAGGAAAAAGCATTTCCATCAGTTCTAACAACATGCACGATGAGCTAGGCAACAAAGCATAGCGCAGGGCCCTGAGCTTCCAAGCTCTCTCGTTTCCTATACTGACCAAGTACGAAGTCAATATTAGATTTATCACGACAAACAGTCCGTATTTCAAATTCCAGAACGATAACCTCATGAATCCCGGTTTTATGATTGCACAACCGTTGCACCACGGCCTACTCATGCAGTGAAACTGTTGCTTTGTAGGCACCGTTCAACTGCGCAACCCCTAAGGAGTCAAATATAAGCGGTCAATAGCCCTAAGGAGTGAAATATGCAGGAATATTTGACTGCTTAGGTATGGCAAAAATCTATGTGAGTCAATACTAAGGGAGTGATAAGTATAGAATCAGACATGGATGTCAGGGCAGTATCGTTGATTCAGGCCCGAGAGCGGCCCAAGGCCGAAGGCCGCGGGCCGCTCGAGGGCCGGAATCAACGATACCTGCCCTGACATCCATGTCTGATTGTGTTTCACACTGCCACCCACGCACGACAGCACAAGTGAAAGCCAGAACGCTCTCCTCAGCAGAACGTGCAAGTCAAGTGCACCTACAACGCACCCGGAGCATGCTAGCAGCGCAAACAAAGCCACTGTACTGCACTAATCTGCATAAATCGAACTTGAAATACATCAAATAGAAACACCGAGTGCCTGCCTGCCCAAGTTCTCAAGTCCTTTATCATGTTTATGGCACTCGTTGCACAACAATGGCAGAAACTCACAAGCTGAAGTTCCACCTCCGTGCGCTCCGGCTGAAGTTTCGTTCTGAAGTTGCATGTCAAGCAAGGTGAAGTTTCAACTCAAGCAAGGTGAAGTTTCAGGTTGGTACGCTCTCGGGCTTTGTTCTCAAGTCCTTTATCATGTTTATGGCACTCGTTGCACAACAATGGCAGAAACTCACAAGCTGAAGTTCCACCTCCGTGCGCTCCGGCTGAAGTTTCGTTCTGAAGTTGCATGTCAAGCAAGGTGAAGTTTCAACTCAAGCAAGGTAAAGTTTCATCTCAAGCAAGGTGAAGTTTCAGGTTGGTACGCTCTCGGGCTTTGTTGATTCAGGCCCTCGAGCGGCCCGCGGCCTTCGGCCTTGGGCCGCTCTCGGGCCTGAATCAACAAAGCCCTCGAGCGTACCAACCTGAAACTCAGAAGATGAGTCCTCCACGTCCCCGACCACCACCCCTAGAGGTTTCTTCCACGTCCCCGACCACCACCCCTAGAGGTTTCTTCCACGTCCCCGACCACCACCCCTAGAGGTTTCTTCCTTTTATACCTTCATGCCGGCTTGTTCAGTTTCACCTCCACACGGCCTCGGGACGTGCTGATTGGTCAAGGGCCTGAATGCCACCGCATGTATCAGACATGGACCGGATATCAGGCTTTTTCTTTCTCTCTTTCTCTCTTGAGTTGTTCCACCTCGATCAGGTAAGTCTCTCCACGTGCGAGTATACCCATCACGTGATCATTCATGTTCTCCAACGGTGCCATTCAAGCCCAAGGCAAGGGCCTGAATGGCAGGGCATGATCAGAGGTTCATGCCCTGCCTGTGAGCGCTCTGATTGGCTCAAACCGTGGCAACGATCACGTGGCAAGTGGTCGTTATTGAATACTAGTAGTCGTCTGAGACCTTGTGTAGTAGACGGGTCTACTCAGCAGAGTCAGCACCCAGCAGTCGCTGAGCTCATGTCATGACTGCGTCGCGCTAGCTCTGCTCATGACCGACATGACTCATGAGTATGCACGAGTTTTTGCGACGTTGCCATGTGTACAGCGTACCGACGCGGCATGCACGTGGACACGATCTTGCAGTATAGATCGAGAGCATGCATTGCATGCATGCGCATGCCGCGTTCATTCAAAATCCAAGAGCAAAAAAAATTAATGATGAATGAGAAAGACAGTCGACATGAGTCGTTGTACTTGTTAGTCATGTTTCAATGTGTTGGGTTTGCATTTTGTTTGGATGATTATTGTTTTTTAAACGCAGTGGAATTTCTACTTTTGGGAAGAACGACAGAGTGAAGTTCAGTGTCGTGGTAGGTGGGTGCAGGCAATATTTGGCTGTCGGTCGCTTGGAGGGGCTGGGCCCGATGTATTTCCTTTCTCGAGGAATTGGTATTAGAAACTAATGGACTGGCCTGGACTTGAAGAAGTTACAAGTGCAGAGCTGTGATATAAATAGTCGTATCAGAGGTGAACGCCAGTGTAAATTAGTCAGTGAAGCGCTATGCTCATCTGCACACACCACTCACAATGGCAGAGCCAATGGCGGGGGACTCGAGTGAGGAGGCTGCATGTTTCGAGTGCATGATTTGCCCTTATCACGGAGACTCAGTAGAACAGTTGAACATCCACATCAACGAAGTGCACTGCCAGAGCCCCAGAGCACAGCGTACTGCACCGTCCCTACCCGAAGCTGTGACGTTATCGTCAGAAGCAGTGACATCATCAGCAGCGGCAGCAGCAGTATCAGATCCATGCAGCGCCTACGAATGTCCAGTTTGCGGGCTGGTGTGCAGTGATGACGTTACATTGCGTCATCACGTTGACGAGCACTTCAGCGGCGATGTCACTGCAGAGACAGCGGCACAGGATGGGTCCGCTAATTGGCGCAGCAGTGCCTGCGCACCCGGCGGTATGGATGCACCAATAGTTGTAGACGAGGACGACGACTGCGATGAAACAATGCGTGGCGAGAGTGCTTCCGGCTCGGCGAACCCACCAGAGGCACAGGCCATATGTCCGTTTTGCGGAGCAGATGGTAAGGTCTTCCTCGATTTTTTTAGTGCTGGCACGCTATAATTTCTTTTCGACGAACGTGAGTTTTCCTTTCTGGCAGTTATAGACCGTCGGCATGTTGTAAATAGGGTGATTTCTCTCTATTGTGAGCAAACTGGGTATTGGATACAATGCTTTTTGGCTGTGAACCCTGAGGGAGGTCGGGCACAATGTCGCGTGGGGGGGGGGGGGCACAGTGTAGATGGAGCCGTCCTCCTTATAGGATGCATTGCGAGTAGAGTTAGGCCTGTGAAGGCGACCACTCTGATAAGGTGACCACCTGCCCAGAGGACCACTACAGCTAGGACCGAGGGATGCTATTTTCATTCGAATGACCCTGGATACCGAGACCACATGTACAGGCTCCTGCACGAGTATGAGGGCAGTACCGCGGAATCCAGCCCGCGCCGCGACAGCGGTAAGGGCTGGATGAGCAGCGGTACTGACCGAGTATGAGTGACTGGAACGTGTTTCCCGTATGCACCCAAGCCAAGGAGATCACTCACAATCGTTGAGTTTACATGAACCCGTCTGTGACTCGAGTCCTGTATGAGGCTGTGAGCTGAGTGAGAGTGACTTCGACAACCATACACCATGAACACGCACTACAGACTTACGGTACACGACTTTTGCATGTACAGTTGTGGCAAGTTAAATCCAACACTTGGCAGAAGGGACTGCACCACGCAGTCTGCAGCCCTTGCAGCCCTGCGTACATACAGTACATGTGTTACATCAAGAGTACATAACCCCCCAGAGTGTGCAACGCCGATCCAGCTCTGTGTAGGGTCTTGGTCGAGCGGAATCGGATCTTCTGATGTCATGCGTACACTTCACACCAGCGCAAGGCCGGTCTCGAGGCAGGGCACCATTGTTTTTGATCCAAGAGTACCCGCGACTCCCCGGGTTCCCCTCAGATGTGTACGGTATTATGACGCAAAGATCCGATTCCGCTCGACCAAGACCCTATGCAGAGCTGGATCAGGCGTTGCACACTCTGGGGGGTTATGTACTCTTGGTTACATACAACTTTTTCTGTCTGATGACAAAACTTGTACTCATCACAGTCAAGGTTCAAAAGGTGCTGGCAAAAATGAATAGGGATTGGATACCAATACTCCTTATGTGTACTATGTTTGTGAACTGTGTGTATCTACGCTGTGACCTTTCGATCTGTTTGGGATGCATACGGCTCTATAGTACAAATTTGGTGCAGTGCATTACATCATTGATGTCCATTTGTGGCACTGTCCCCTATGGCAAGTGTCGGATTTCACTTGCCACAACTGTACTACTAGTAGTTTCAGACCACAAAAGGTTGTCATTAAAATGGTAGACTCATGAGTGGATTCTGTCTACTGCCCGTCGTCAAGTGACGACGGGCAGCGGATTCCGTCCTCTGCCCGTCGTCACTTGACGACGGGCAGTGGAACTAGTACCATCACCATTCAGCAGGCAGGATCGCGCTTTCCAGCCCGCGTAATTTGATCTGTTATTGGTCGACTCCGAGGTGACAGTCATGTGACATACGGGAATTGTAGGGTCCCTTGGACGGGAGGTCGGCAAACTATCACTGGTTTGCCTCTCCTTACAATGCACATGAAAATTAATGATATCACACTCATCTACAGTCCATTCATAAAAAGATGGGCCCTGGCTCTGGCAAGCTCCCGTATTTGGCGATTTTTCGTGATTTCATCGTGCACAGTGCAGTGCTGCGAAATTTGAAATTTGAAAAAGGGTCCAAAAAGGGTACCTGAACTGGGGTTCGAACCGCACAATGCACTGTTGCAGACGGGGTCAAACGGCCTGGCTTTTTACGGTTTTTCCCTATTCAATGCTTTGGGGGCAAAACCTGGCCAAAATCCTATTCTTGTTATGGCCTGCTTTTTGGAGAAAAAAACTTCAGATACATAATTGGAAGAGGATTCCATAGGGGATTGCAGAAAAAAATTCTAAAAAAACTCAAAGTTTGACCCATTTATGGCCAAAAGCTAGAAGTCCATCTTTTTCTGAATGAACTGTAGCTTGTAGATGATCGGGTAAAGTGCTTAGACAACACATGATGTCCAGTGATGCGTATTATTGTGGATACTGTGAAGATTTCTGCAGGATTTCTGGGAAACATGTCACATTCATGTTCAGTGCAATCTAGTCACTATTGGCAAGCTGCTGCTGCTGCTGCTTTTGGTGGTGATATTCCTATGTGCGTGTGCTAAATTCTAGCACAATGCACAGTTCACACGTACACACACACACACACACACACACACACACACACACACACACACACACACACACACACACACACACACACACGCACACACGTAAACACACACACACACACACACACACACACACACACGTAAACCCACACACACACACGCACACGTAAACCCACACACATACACACACGCCACCAGCACCACCACCACCTTCACCACGGCACCACAATCGCCACAACCATCATCACTCCTATCACTACTCATTGAACCATCAATTAGTTGTTAATTTAGAGTGTCATCGAGGTGACTGGTCACACCTGACTTTAGCTCTGTGAGTGTGGTTAAATGTATGGATAGTCAGCTTGTTCTTTTTTTCGCAGCTTACCACCCTCAGCATGCAGTTGCTCTAGGTATACTTCCATGCTGGTGCTCTAATAGATCATCCGGTAGGTCTTCATTCGCCTTTTCTGTTTCTTGAAGAGCTTGTTTAATTGTATTGTTGAACTGGCTGTGTTTATTGCTGTGTGGTATGTGTGTGTGTGTGTGTGTGTGTGTGTGTGTGTGTGTGTGTGTGTGTGTGTGTGCATGCGTGTGTGTGCGTGTCTGTGTATGCACATCTGTTTGTTTGTACGTGCATGCGTATACACTACAGTTCCTCTCTCTAGCCTGGGCGACCACCTGACTGCACACGAGATAGCCAAGTCTGACACAACAGAGCTGCAACGTCAGCAACAGGACATGGCTGCAAAGGAAAGCGAAGAGTTCAAGAAATTGCAGGTTGGTTTTGGCTGGATCCAAGCATCAGGCTTTCACATTACTACACCGCCAGTATGTTGAGCATGTATCTTTTTGGGTTAGCCAGTGTTTTTGATAGATGTATTTGTGTGTGTGTGTGTGTGCACGCGCGCGTGTGTGTGTGTGTATGTGTGTGTATGTGAGTGTTTGTGTGTATATTTGTGTGTGTGTGTGTGTGTGTGTGTATGTGCGCGCGCTCGCGTGTGTGTCTGTGTGTGTGTGAATATATGTGTGTATGTGTGTGTGTGTGTGTATATATGTGTGTGTGTGTGTGTGTGTCAGTGTAGAACTCTACACATCTCTTTCTTTCAAGCCGATACATACACACATGCACATCCACACACACGTGTGCACGCACACACACACACAAACACTCCTTCTCTCTCTCTCTCTCTCTCTCTCTCTCTCTCTCTCTCTCTCTCTCTCTCTCTCTCTCTCTCTCTCTCTCTCTCTCTCTCTCTCTCTCTTTTGTTCTATTAGTCTCTCCTCGCACATTCTCTCTTGTCTGGATATCTTGCAGAAACGTTATGGTATGGAGTCCACGCAGAAGGGTTACTCTAAGACGTACGAACAGCGGTTGGGTCATGATGCCGATAGACAACGCATTTCTGGACTTGACTATCATCGTGAGAAGTCCATGCTGGCTGAGAGAATGGCTAGGGGTGTGGATGATGGCTCCACGGCCACCAGAGGTACAGTGTGTGTGTGTGTGTGTGTGTGTGTGTGTGTGTGTGCGTGCACACGCGCGTGTGTGTGTGTGTGTGTGTGTGTGTGTGTGTGTGTACGTGTGCGTGCGTGCTTGTGTGTGTGTGTGTGTGCGCGCGTGTGTGTGTGCGCGCGCGCGTGTGTGTGTGTGTGTGTGTGTGTGTGTGCCCATCTCCTTCGTGCAGATCTTACCATAGCAGTATGTGTGTAGACATGTACATGTCTGTGTTTATGTGTTCGTGCGTGTGTCTATCTGTTTAGCTCTATCTCCATTTTGATCCCATCTTTTTCTACCCAGATCTTATCAGCGCAGTGGCAGGCATCTACCGACACCACAAGATCCGTTCGCTGCAGTCCGTCTCTCTGTGTTGTAATGTCACGCACTACTCGGCCGATCGTGGGGACAGCGGCTGGGGCTGCGGTTATCGTAATCTTCAGATGATGATGTCGTCGCTGATGTCTGTGCCGGAGTACCGATGTCGTATTCAGCGCCTGGTTCCCAACCTTGCAGGTACGAAGATACAGTTTAAGTTGCCAAACTATGATGCTCAGGGCATGTACCGTGTTTTCCGGAATGTAAGCCGCACTGAAGCATAAGTAGTACCCGTATTTCTTTGCCGCGAAATGCAGATATCTTCTCTATAATATCACCGTTAATTTGATCATCGGAGTATGAGCCGCACTGCCTTTTTTTGGGTGGATTTTGAGTGGTCAAAGTGCGGCGTATACTCCGGAACAATACGGTACATGTGTGCTCGGTAGACATAGCCCAATTTTGCTAGCAAAATATCGAAGAATTTTGACATGGAAATTTGCTGGCAAAACGGAGCATGTTATCGGTATACTCGCTGGAAATGGGAAGATTATACACGTATACGGTGCACGTGACTCATTTTCACACATTTTTGCCAACACGTGACTCATTTTTTTCTCAGTTTTGCCAAACACGTGACCCACTTTCGATCGGTTTTGCCACACGTGACACAAATTTGGCCTCGGGTCGGAGCAAAAAATGTCACGGTTCGCGTGAGACTTGGCCAAAGGCCGAGTTTACCGCATCCGCAGGAACGCCACCACCCTCTTGGATCAAGGCAAAAAAGCGAAATATGGACGATGAGCCAGCAACATTTTGTGTCAAAATATCGAAGCTTGACTGGCAAAATCGGGCTTTGCCTAGTGCTCGGTGAAATGCGACCCAAAGTGCAACACTTTGACGCCCTGTACCAGTTCTGATTACAATCATCACTGTATCTGTACATATGTACGTCCAGCCGCATTCGTGCCACTTCCAGGGCGTCAAGGGGCGGGCAAATTGAGGGGCGTCAAACGTGCACTCTGGGTCGGATTTCAATGAGCGCGTATGTAGTTATCATCTTTTCCGGAGTATAAGCCATACTTTTGAACACTCAAAATTCACCCCAAAAGGGGGGTGCGGCTTGTACTCCGATCATCAAATTAACCCTTTGCAAGCTGGGCCGTTTTCCCTGGTTCTCCGGGTGATTTCAGGCCAAAAATGGAAAATTTCAAAATTGGAGTTTCTTTGAATTTTTTCTTGTCGATGCTTCAGTGTAATAATAGACACTAACTGGTGAGGTTTGAGCAGAATACCAGTAGTCAAAGTTGTGCTAATAGCCTAATTACTAGGGGTCAAACGGGTGTACCGGGTACTCGGGTACCCGCCCGTTAATCTCAGGTACCGTTAGTAAAAGGGTACCCGTTTGTAAAAAAATAAAAAATAAATAAAAAATAAAAAAGGTGATCCTATCGTCTTCCAAGACTCAAAATAGGAGTGCGGATACTCTTTTCCTTTTTCCTGTGCATTCCCGCTTTCGACTTTATCAGGCAGGAGCAGGCTGAAAGACAGACTTGACAGTTGTTCTCTCCACTCTAGTGCAAGTAAAAATCCTCGTACTGGAGGTTTTTGATTGTGATGTGAGAAAATGCAAGACTTGAAACTCGTTCGAGGTGGCAGCTGAGTAACTAGAAAGTTACGATGGTTCTCCGACATCGAACCTGCCACAGTACTTGATGAACTAGTGTCACCAGGCTGAGTGACCAGTCGGAGTGTCACAAACGGTGATGTCCGTAGGTGGTAGCTACTTCGAGAAGTACATGTATGATACTCATGGTTGTAGTTTGTTCCTTCAATCGACGAGCTGAAAAGTAGTTCGAAATATTGCATACAAGATTACGGATTTGTGAAGATTCATTTCACGAGTTCAACAAGCTAGCACTAGCAGCTAGCTGGCCAGCAGCACATCAGCTGCGTCAGGCACCCCAGCTAGCTATGGGCGCGAACATCTACTGAATGCAACGAGTACCAGTTCTCTGCGAACATAGCAAATAGGATTGCGCGAGATCACGGAAGTTTTGCTAAACCACTCTGTCCTTGCATGGCTTGAATCACATCGATCTGCAGTTGATTTGCGTACATGTATCAAAATACATGTAGCTTGTAGGACCATCTACATGTACGATTGTAAGTTACTGCCTGTGAAGTTATGTACATGGGCAAATGCACGGATGACATTCATTTGGAATCTTCATTGCCATAATAATAATTATGATACACGAATCAATTGCGAATCATAATGTAGTATCAAAATACAATCTGAGAATATACAAATTAAAATCATTATTTTATGTGAGAAATGCGCAAAAAAATAATATGGCTGCTAAAGGGTACCCGTTAACCCGCCCGTTAAGAAAATTACCAGTTCGTTAGTTAAAGGTACACCCGTTTGACCCCTACTAATTACAATTGCCGTTCTAGTGGTTTTTTTAACGCAAATTCTAATGTCCTAGAAGTACGATTATGTCGTATTGAAGTGTGTTACTGCTGCTGTGATGGTAGAATTGTCCAAAGCTGATGATTTCATGAAGCTCTGCCAACGATAAAATTAAAAAAGAGAGGACCATATGTTTACAAGTGGTCCTATTTTTTTTTAATTTTAATCCTTGGCTATCCATCCGAAAGAGACTCTACCAATGTACTAAGGGTTCCAATCAGTTTTATGCAGAAAAGCTAAATTCATGCCGATGTGATATGTGCTCAAGTTACTCAACCCAATGCAATTATACGTTAGAACGGATCTGCACATATTTTCAAGTTTACAGCCCGCTATTGATTCTAATGACCTTTTTTCCGATAACAGCAGCCTGCAGTTAGTTCCTGCTGCGTGTGTGCTAGATCTCGAAGCAGGGCTCGATGCATAGTGACACGTGATTATGGCATGTTTTGCAGCGGTACCGCGCCTGCTTGCGAATGCCGTGAGATGCGCACACAACACAGCGACGCTGGACAACGGCCTTGCCCTCTGTGGCCGGGTGCTTCTCGGGAAAGCGTTTCCCCGTCAATCGGTCCTGGGCATTAGCAGTAGGAGTAGCTGCAGCAGCAAGCTCAGCATCAGCAGCTTCAACCAGGACTTGCACGGCTTTCTGGACGAATGCATGGTGCTTTTTTTCTTGCCACCATGCATTCGGTAGGTAATGTACGCATTCTGCACAGCTTCTTCGACAAAGCAAACCTCGACTTTGACGTACCATTTTGAGTGTGCGGCGTACTGCGGAGAAAAGCTGTCACCATGGCATCGTTCTTGTCCACGCCTCCCAGCCGCCTGTTATAGTGGTGGCTCACCTGCAGCCTCTTTACGTGCTGGCCTTGTCGAGTCGTTTTGCCGGTGCGAAGAAGATCAGCATTGTGAACCGTTGACAGTAGGTAGATGACTTTGTTGTCATGTTACTTCACCAGCAGAAGAGCACCTTTTCTGCGGAATGCACACTGTGCTTTCGGGAAATCCAGTGTCTTCGACGCGTTGGGAATGCCGCGACGGATGGCGCGCATCGTACCGCACATGCCGGTCGTATTGGCCTTGAGGCGAGTTGCAAGATAAAGCGATGTATACCAATTGTCTTGATAGACATGATATCCCTTGCCTAGTAGCTCACCCATCAGATGCACGACAATGGTGCCAGCTGATCCTAGCCGAGCAGTGTGCGGGAGAGGGTTGGCGGGCCGACCAGTGGCAATAGAAGCAGACCAGTAATCGCCAGAGGTGTCGCAAAGAGCGGATACCTTTACGCCAAAGCGGGTTCTCGCTTGCAGGGGATGTATTCCTTGAAAAGCAGTCTGCCCTTGGAAAGAACAAGCTCCTCATCGATGCTGATGAACTGCTGAGGCACATACGTTCGCTTGAAGATACCAATGAGCGTGTCGGTCAACGGTGGCAACTTGGCCAATCGATCGCCCGGCACAGCGTCATTGTTGTCAGCGAAAAGGAGGAACTGGAGAATGCCCAGAAACTTGTCGCGCTTCATGATGCGCGCCAATGCAGGTGTCTCACTGAACGAATCAGTACACCAATATTGGTGCCAGTGAGATTTGCGTACTATGCCAGAGTGGAGGTAGATGGCAATGAACTTTTTCATGTCAGGTACCGTGACAGGTTTGCAATCATGCTGGCATGAAGCCGGTGTTCAGGTCACCAGCACCCAGACATCCGCTGGGAGGATTCCCGTGCCCTGCTGTTTGCGGGAAATTGGCCTCTGGATCACATGCTGCAGTTTTCGGAGTCCCGTGACCCTTCAATCATGATACCCCCCCCCCCTACCCTTATACACTTTAGTTTGTGTATGTGTTACACGTTTGCACGTGTATGCTTGTGTCTGTGCACGTGTATGCTTGTGTCTGTGCACGTGTATGGTCTGTGCATGTGTCTGTGCATGTGTCTGTGCACGTGTCTTTGCACGTGTCTGTGCATGTGGTCTGTTCATGCATGGATGCATGTGGATGTGTGCAATCTGTGCGTGTCAATGTACTTGTCTGTATGTTGTTTGCCAGCTGGTCAAGTCCCATCGGTTCCCAAGCTGCAAGAGCTGATCGAAGCAGCCTGGACATCTGGTAAGTAAAAGCTCCTCTCCACTCCTTTTGACGTTAGAAGACGTTAGTAACGACTTGAGCAGTGTTTTGAAGTGAGATTAGCGGAACGAGCTGAACCGACATTTCACGAAGGTTTATTGCATTCAAAACAAGTGGACACGATCAAGGAAGGAGAAACGAATGTGATATGGAAGAAATGATGAACACGAATACTATAATTTCTCCCTCCTTGTTCATCACCGCCTTCGTATCCACTTGTTTTGAATGCAATAGGCATGGGTGCACAAATGAAAGGTAAATGTGTATCAAAGCGGTAAGTTTCTCAATTGACTTACTGCATGACATGTTGGCCACTCTCAGGAGATTTTTGTTTCCGTTTTTTTTTCCGTTGCTTGGATCTAGTAGTGGTGACACTCTGGTCCCGGTCAAGTGTGACACTAGGGCGTGAACACTTGGACCGGTGGACTTCCCACCCGCCAGAAACAGGATCAGCGTCGCTATGGCCTCCCAGCTGTGGGCCTAGGGCTGTACATGCATCGCCGTCTGCCTTCTTGGCCTCCCTGTCGGAGTCGCAGGGCACGTTTGATGGCTGCTGGTTCTCCGGCTCGGATAGGCTTTCATTGTAGACTAATGATTCAGCATCAGCAGGAAAAGGCAACTCTTCAGACTCAGAGGAGCTGGAGTCGCTCTGGTCAGCTGCTGGGAGACAAGCCTGCTTAGACTTGGATCTTGGGCATTGTGATTGGGCTTTATTTTGCTGCGCTGTCTGGGCTGGGTTTGCGACCACATCAGATAGGAGTCGACGTGTGCGTTCAGTGTCTGTGTGCATGTAGGTGACGTTGAATGCCGTGACTGCTGTGTACTACCGGTACTGGCAGTGGTACAGCGGCCCTCAGGGCAGTCTTTGGCAAGGTGCTCTGGCTTGCTGCAAATCCGACACGTGGGCTTTTGGCCACTATAGTGTAAGCGGAAAGTGCCTTTCCCGTCTCTGGATTTCACGTACGAAGGTACGGCTTTATTCGACCCAGTACGAAGGTTGCAAAACAGACTCCGGTTGCAGTAACAACGTTGTCCCGTACCTTTTAAAGTTTACCGTGGCAGATGGCGCCCTGCACGGTACCGTATGGAGCAAGCGCGGCTGTTATGGCGCCATCTGGCACCCACACAGGAACATCGTGAATGTGCAACTGATCAACATGAGTGTTTTCTGTCAAGGATTTTGGAAGGATATGTTGTCCATTTATATGAAAGCCATTCTTCACGACGAAGGCCACACGTTTTTATTTCTATGTTTCTCGTCACCTGAAAATCTAAAAACGTATGTGAGAGGTGGAAAAAATAAAAAATGACCGAAAAATAAAAAAAAAGTTTATTAGACCTTTGTTCACACTAAAATCCACCAATACACCATGCAAAATAGCATCCATAGTTAGCAACTAGTATGTGGTAGGAGCTTCTGTCACAATCTGTGCATGTGCCGCTAGATTGCGCACAAAAAATGCCATCCTTGCATCATATGTCGCGCAGGCCAGGCCAAATTATGTACATGTGCACGAGTGTGCTGGTCCCCACATGCACAGTCACTGCAGCACAGTTTTTTTCTTTTTTTCTTCCAGACTCCTAAATCGTATGCGCGCGGGTGACGAGAAACATAGAAATAAAAACGTGTGGCCTAACTGGGCAAGCGGGATAACTGCGAACGTTAATCTGCATTGGCCTACTGAACTGACCTGGATAGATAGGATGAGCTCGGCTCCTATTGCGTGTTGCACGAGGCAGCTCACGTACTCGGCGAGTTTCAAATCCTTTGGAGCTGGAAATATCACAGTTCGGGCCATCAGGTCCCTGGCGCTTACTTTCCGCCATGGGTCGACTTCAGCTGGTTCCCGAGATACATCAGTGGCCTCCATGACCCCAGAACGGGCACATGCGGGGCTAAAATGCCCAACGACGAGATTTTTTCAGAGCTAAAACAGCTTTACCACACGTCGCTGAACAAACAGACAAATGTGTGTGTGTGTGTGTGTGTGTGTGTGTGTGTGTGTGTGTGTGTGTGTGTGTGTGTGTGTGTGTGTGTGTGTGTGCGTGCGTGCGTGCGTGCGTGCGTGCGTGCGTGCGTGCGTGCGTGCGTGCGTGCGGGCGGGCGGGCGGGCGGGCGGGCGGGCGGGCGGGCGGGCGGGCGGGCGGGCGGGCGGGCGGGCGGGCGGGCGCATGCGTGCGCTCGCGCATGCTTACATGGGTGTGTGTACGGATGTGTACCTGGGTATATGCATGTGTTTGTCTGTACCCACTGTATTGTGTGTGAAGGTTTTGACCGCGCTGGCGCTGATCAACTAGGACATAAGCTATGCAAGACTCGCAAGTGGATAGGCACAACCGAGATTGCGGCTGTGCTGAGATATTGTGGAATACGGTAAGGATGAAGTGTGGGATTCTGTGTGCTTTTCCCCATGGCTACAGTACATACTGCCGGGTGCCAAAGAACGAAGCCCCGAAGAACGCAGCTCCGAAGAACGGAGCCCCGAAGAACGGAGCCCCGAAGAACGGAGCCCCGAAGAACGGAGCCCCGAAGAACGGAGCCCCGAAGAACGGAGCCCCGAGGAAAGGAGCCCCGAGGAACGGAGCCCCGAAGAACGGAGCCCCGAAGAACGGAGCCCCGGAGAAAGGAGCCCCGAAGAACGGAACCCCGAAGAACGGAGCCCCGAAGAACGGAGCCCCGAAGAACGGAGCCCCGAAGAACGGACGCCCCGAAGAACGGACGCCCCGAAGAACGGACGCCCTGAAGAACGGAGCCCCGAAGAACGGAGCCCCGAAGAACGGAGCCCCGAAGAACGGAGCCCCGAAGAACGGAGCCCTGAAGAACGGAGCCCCGAAGAGAACGGCTGGGCTAGAAGGTCATCAAGTACAGCATAGCAATGTATGCCCGGTGACTCAACTGTGCATAGACTATAACATGAAGATAAGAGCGGTCTAGGCTAGGCTAGGAGGCTGTGCCCCCAGTTCTCCGGCGACCGAAAGTACTGTAGTGGTGGTGCTGCTGCTGCTGCTGGTGGCGGCGGCGGTTGTTGATGTTGTCAAGAGAGGAAAACGGTTTGCGAAGAAAAAGGGAGAAGCCTTGGCAATGAGAGCACATGATGAAGTGTTAGCGAAGAAAGTTCTTGGACCTATGCTAGCTAGGTAAAATAGATGTATATACTGGGTTGCAGTGCTATCTGTAGTGGTGTTGAGTTTGTTTGTTTAATTTATTTTACTTCACCAAGTGAACAGGCCTTTCTGCCTTCTCACCAGGTCCGGAGACCTAGTTCTGACGAAATGATGAAGAGGAGTCACACACTCCACTGCTCCGCTATGCCAGCTCCCCGCTTCCGGTGCCAGCATCGCATGCGTGTGCCGTGCTGCGTAGAGTGTGCGAGCGGGACCGCACGTTGACATCCAGTTGTGAACCTGACCTGGATGCACCACACTGGCTTTCGTCACTTTTTCCTGTATCTACAGTCCATTCCAAAACTATAGACGCGTAGGGTTTTTGAAATATTTCAAATTTGGCTGGAACTTTTTGAGAATAGTTTTCGGAATATTGCTCAGGTCCGCTCCGCAATTACTCTCATGTAGTTTCTAAACGATTGGATAACAGACGCCCAATTTCGAAAAAATTATGCGCAAAGTGATCACAGATTTTATGTGGTATAGATGCTGGCATAACGGTTTTTGCCTAGGTACGCGTCTATAGTTTTGAAATGGACTGTAGTTCCTACAGTACTAGGCAGAAGAAATGCAACCTCATGAATAAAATAGGAGCTGTAGCACTACACACACTGGTCTGTGTACTCGAACGCGGCGCTACTTTATTCATGTGGTTGGATTTCTCTGGCCAGCACTGTACAGGATTGAGTGACACACCTGGCGCGCACACCGTGCGTCACGGAGTACGTTGAAAAATCCGCTTGCATTGATGTCTTCTTTGAAAAGGTTCTGAGGTGGCTTTGCACCATAGAAGAGGTGTGTCACGAACTGTGATGCTAGATTATTCCCTGGTTTGTTTGTTTGTTTGTGTGTGTGTGTGTGCGTGCGCGGGTGTGTGTGCGTGTGTATGTGTATATGTGCATATGTGTGTGCGCGCGTCTTTTTGCTGGTATGCGTATGTGAATGCGTATCATTGTAGCATGCAGATTATTGATTTTCATCGACCCAGCGGACCTAACAACACCCATCCAGCCATGCTGGACTGGGTTAAATCTTACTACAGCGGCAGTGCGTCCACTTCTAGCCACGTTCCTAGAGGCGGTGTGAGCAGTCGTACCTCGTCATCAGCTCCCGGGGAGTCTGGAAAGGCGGCAACATCGTCTGTCGTCACTGCGGCAGCGCAGCGTAACAGACCCGCTTCGGGCGCTGCAGGTACGCTTAAATCACCAGCACGTGTCGTGTTAACATCCGAACTAGTGAGCCGGAACAAAGCAGTGTGTTCCTGATTCTATGCACTGTTATTGCATACCATCAGTGCAGTGCAATCCAGTACAGGTGTCCAGCACTTTATAGACCAGCAACCTCTATAAGCCGGCATTCGTTTCAGTGCCCAAAGTGTCCTCTTCCTGCACATTGCAGCAGTATGTCAGATTTGTCAATGCAGCACTCTCCCTAATCCATGGGCGTGATGTCCACAACTTTATTAGCTCCCTAATCCGGCAGGATTTCCATAGCACAATTGGTGGCAGATTAATCATGGTCTAAGACCATCCCACTACGCCCGATACCAAGAGTAGTTAAACAAGAGTGTGCAACTCCGGATCTCTCCTGCACAATCTGCAGATACCCAGGGCGGAATTTTTTGTTTACGTCACCTTTTTTCAGAGAAACGCGGACTTTGCCGCAGAGCAGTGTTAGAGCACGTGCTGGGCACCGACAATGTAGTGTAAAGCCCAGCCAAGTGCACGAGGGAAACTCTCCAAAAGGCTCGCAGCGCGTGCGTCGTTGAAAAGATTACGTCAACAAAAAATTCCGCCGTGGGCCAACCCAATCGCGAGTTGCACACTCTTGTTTATCTACTCTTCCCGATACTGTCCAGCGGATACCAAGTTTCAATGTCTGATCCCTTCTGACTGCAGGTCCTCCATCACAAGCATCTGTGCAAGTTCACGGCGAGAAGTTTCCACTGTACTTCCAGCACCAAGGTCAGTGCACTTCGAGGGTGTAATGGTGTGTGTGTGTGCGTGCGTGCGTGCGTGCGTGTGTGTGCCATATGGTGCAGTTGTATGTGCAGCGATTTCCAATCGATAGGTTGCGGGTTCGATTCCGGATGATTATGGTCACACACGTCTTTCTTCTCTTTTGTCAGACTCCTCCTGACTTTTCTTTCATTCTCCTGGGTAGTAACCAGCAGCCAGTGCATGCCGGAGTATGTGGTGTGATGTGTGTGCGGGACAAAAAAATTAATGGAAAAGACCAAAAAGTAGGGATTCACTGGCCAGAAAAATCCACTTCATAGCTGTGTGGTGTAGACCAGGCTGAATAGTGGCAGTCAATTCTTCAGCCTTGCAAGCTGTTGAATGGTGCAATGCTGCTATAGCATTGCTATCATCGCCTCTGGCGATGTGTGTCCAATGGTGTGTGTGTGTGTGTGTGTGTGTGTGTGTGTGTGCGCGTGTGCGTGCGTGCCTGCGTGCGTGCGCGTGTGTGTGTGTGTGTGTGTGTGTGTGTGTGTGTGTGTGTGTGTGTGTGTGTGTGTGTGTGTGTGTGTGTGTGCATGGCAAGGCAAAGGCAAAACCAAAGGCATGGCAGTGAACACTCCGGCGAATGCATAAATGACACTGGATGGCGTTTACGTATCTTGGCATTGCCATACACCGCGATGGTTCGCCTTCCCACGACGTGCAGGCCCGCATTGGCAAAGCATCCAAAGCTGTTGGTAGCTTGAAGCAAGCTGTGTTCGAGAACCGGTCATCGAGTCTACAGTATCGTCGTCGTGCGTATGTTGCCTTGGTGCTCTCTACCCTCCTGTATGGCGCGGAGACCTGGACAATGAAGGCTCCGGACCTACGGCATCTCAACCTCTTCCACCATCAATGTATCAGAACTATCATCTGAGTGTCGCGACAGCAGCAATGGGAGATGCACGTAACGTCCTCGGCCCTTGTAAAGACCCTAGGAGTGCCGGAAGACACTGGTCTCATCGTACGGTAACGACGTTTGCACTGGCTTGGACACGTGGCACAGATGGAGGATCATCGATTGCCGAAGTGTGTTCTCTTCGGTGAACTGCCTGCCTCGCAAGACATGGAGATACATCGCTGTGGATGACTTCGCGTCGGTGGAGCCACCGGTTCCAACATGTGGTTGGTACGATACAGCCCAGAACCATCCGGAGTGGCGTACCATTGTCGACCACCCAAGGCACCCTCTGCTGCTAGGTACACTTGCACCTGCGGGCCGCATGTTCCGTCGAATCGGCGACCTGAAACGCCGTCAGTCATTCTGTCATGGACGGGAGAAATAACAATGCGCTATAACAATGTGTGTGTGTGTGTGTGTGTGTGTGTGTGTGCGTGCGCACGTGTGTGTGTGTGTGCGTGTGTGTGCGCTGGTGTGTGTGTGTGCGTGTGTGTGTGTGTGTACGTGCACTGTAGGATGTTGCCCTCATGTCTACATATGCGAGCACGTTTCTCCAATCTATTTTTGTTGTCAAGAAATGTCGAGCGTCGAACTGTCGTGTTTGTGAATGCATTGATTGATTTGCGTACTTAGGCTGTGTTTACATGAGAAATTTCAACCCGGGTCGAGTTCAGCCCGGGTTGAATGTCTGTACGATAGACGAAATAGGTGAGGGTTTACATGAAGACAGTTGACCCGGGTCAAATACTGATATGCCACCAAAAGTCCACTTCTAGAGTCCTGTACGGTCACGTGAATTCTTTCGCGCGAAATTTGCACGTACAGTGCTGTTCAAACCTGGCGTGAGATACGCACAGAAGTACGTTTGTATGATTTCTTTGACCCGGGTTGAAATCAACCCGGAGCGAAATTTCAACCCGGGTCAAGCGCAATGCGTCATGTAAACGCGCCATTCATTTTGTGTACATGGCAGGTTGAAATCTGACCCGGGTTGAAACGCCTCATGTAAAAACAGCCTTAGCATACTTTTTAAAAGTACTGTATCTCACCGCCTGTCGGTTTTCTTGCTGTGAGTCTGTTTCGAGCCATACTTGTATATTGTAGTAACATGAAATAAATCTGTCTATCCCTCTGTATGCCCGTCTGTATACGATTATCATTAATCACACCGTCATTGAACTCGGATGGAGGGCCAGGGATTAACCCTTTATGTACGGTGTGTACGTGAATCGATCACATATGATCACATATGATCGATTCATAATCGATTCGTAAACCTTCGTAACTCCATCATTTCTTGTCCGAATTCAACAATCGAAGGGTCTATTTGGTAGCGGAAACTCCACGCTTTCCAATGCAACAATCGCTGAAGAGCTACGATGTACAAACCCAGAGATATCGCGCGCCGTATTCTTGTCTCGGCAAATTCAATTTTTTTATCGATCTCTTCGCCATTTTAGGGGAAAATCCCTTTTCGTGTGCTCTTTGACCAACTCAGCACATGATAGTGACGTAATTGGCTGAAGTTTGAATCGCCTCGAAAAGATTTGAGCGTTCTGCGATAGAGGAGAGTGGAATAGCGTTGATGGGGAAATTTGCTCGCATATTGGGCTTGGAGACGACTTGGCTGTGTTCCTGCGCCTGATTTGTGGCAGCCAGTTGATGGAGCCTGGTATCCTGGCGTTGCTCTCGCCATGAGCTTTCCAAAGAGCCCAAGATTGTGGAAATGCAGCGAAGGAGGCCAAAGTTATAGCCTGTTGACGGTGAACATTGTGCTGAAAATTCAAATTCTGCTTCATTCTGTGCTGGAAATCAGTACATAAAGGGTTAAAATGAATTAGAAAGCACCAAAGGTTTACAAGTTGCCCGTAGCATATGATTGCCAGTGTTGGACAACTATGCGTAACTTGTAAGTCCTCGGATGGTGAGCCAAGGAAAATATAAAAAGGAAACGAGGAAAATGGTGGGGCACACGCTTTGCGTTAGAGGCCACCAACTAAACCAGATTTTGAACAGTCGGACGTCAGTCTGGTTCTACCTTGTGCACGTCTGATTGTTTAAAATCTGGTTTATTTGGTTGACTCTAACGAACTAGTGCCCCACCGCTTTCCTTGTTTCTTTTTAACTTTTGATCCTTTCTTCCTTCCTTTCTTCATACTGTCATTGTTTTTTTTTCCGTATTGTATGCTGTACGTTACCGTAGGTCACAGCCGGACCATCGTTGGCTACGAGGAGCGTAAGGACAACAACCGGTCGCTACTCATCTTCGATCCGTCGCAGCCGCCACGCAAGATGGCTTCGCTGCTGCCGTCCAAGAAGACAGTGACGACGACGGCCATGGCTGCCTCGTCTAGCCGATCGGGTGCAGCAGGCACATCGTTGTCACGAGGAGCTTCTTCGGCGGCAGCCGGATATCCGAATCACACAACAGCGTCATCGGCGGCGTCGTGCCACGGTGCTGAAGTTGCGGCGGACGCCGGTCGCATCCAGGTGATCCGACGACCGCTCGGACAGCATCAGGCGGACAAGTACCAAGTGGCGTACGTGGACGGCCTCGTCCTGCCAGCCGAGGTTAATAGGGTACGTCATGACCATTACTGCTTGGGGGAGAAACTGATAGGTCGCATATGTCCTGGGGAGATAGGGAATGCGGCGGATAATTGTTGCAATGCACCCATGCTTAGGGGCCGTCCGTGAATATCAAACCTTTTTCACCAGACAAATTATTTTACTTTGGACCCAACCCCTCCCTCCCTCCCCCTCAGAACGTAAAAAAATGTTGACATAATAGAGAGGTTCTGCTATACGTGAAACGTAGAGAAATCACGTACAGAGCAGCTGTCTGGGTTAGAGTCTACGGCTTCGCGTGTTTTGGGTCCAGATTTCTACGCGTAGATGAGGTTCTCTACGTTGTGGCACACGCAAAGAAAATGCGTGCGGATCTGCTGGGTATCATTCGAGTGCAGGCAGAAAACTGCCAAATATGGAAGGGGAAATTCCCAGTACACATTCCACGTGACTTCTCTACGTGAAACGTAGAGCAGAACAGGATTTCTTTACGTTACGGGAACGCGAAGAGAGTTCCCGTGATTCTTTGCCCGAAACGTAGAGGTAGAACAGGATTTCGTTACGTTACGGGAACGCGAAGAGAGTTCGCGTGATTCTTTGCGTCGCGTTCCCGAAACATAGAGCAGAACCTCACGCATACATGCAAAATTCGCGAATGTGTCACTGCTCCTATGGCCATGTACATGTATCAATGTTTTCTGAAACGAAATTGGTCAACCCCCTCCCACACCGTAACGAAATTTAATTATTTCGTTTTTTGAAAAAAAACTTCGATATCTATGGACGACCCCTTAGCGGCGGGTCAAACGATTTACCTCTGACGGCATTGCTATGCAGTCTGGTCGCCGGTTCATTTCTTTTGCACATACCGTATTTTCCGGAGTATAAGACGCACTAGATTCTAAGCTGCACCCAGAGTATTTTTTTGTCACGAAATACAGACGTTTACCAAGTGTATCACACCGTTGATTTCACCAGCGTAGTATCAGCCGCATTGACTTTTGGGGGGGGGGGGGGGGGGGGGACTACGAGTTTACAGTTGCTGCGTATACTCCGGAGAACACAGTACTTCTCTGTCCACCCTGCACTCACTCGTTGCGCACACATCCGCACAATCACTCATACGTGCACACCACTATTGAACACGTGAACATTGCCAGTGGGGGCGACCACAGCACAGCTCAATACCAACTCGCCACTCGAGGCTACAGTCAGACCTCGCTTAGCCGCACGCAGCCGTTTTCCGCAAAAATATATCCGGATAGGGGATGGAACCGGATAATCGAACACACATGCTGTATGTATGCATGGCATGCAGAGAATACTGAATATAACGTGCCCCTTTGATTTTCGATAATTTATCACTATATCCGGTGCATCACTATAGCCGATTTGCATGTATGACTGACACATGGCACATGACTGTGCATGAAATGCTGCGTACACGCTGGAAAAAGCATGAAAAGCAGCCACGTGTACATGTGGCTGCTTACAGCACACAGGGAAGAGTTTTCTCTCACTCATGTCTGCTGCCAGATGCATCCAGGCAACACTGGATCAGTTTTGGAAGAAGTGAACTTCATTGGAAGAACACTTGTTTTTGTGATCATCACTCTTGATCATTATATGCGATATTTTCCTGTACATTTGATATGGTTTGCTTCCTGAAACCCATCACAATAAGCGATATATCGGTATAGCCGATAATAGTGTGTATAGTGTTACCCGTCATGTGTCACACTTCTTTGGATTTTTAACCTTTGTTTTTCCCTTGATCTCTTTAGTTCCGTATTTCCACTGATGATCGAGCGTGAAAATCGATTTTGGAAACACACAAAACAAAACCTTGAACAAATTGTCATGTTGCGTGGTGATGTCTGCGGCATTCATACTTTTCATAGCTATTAGTGATATTTTAGCTGTATTTTTCTGATTTGATTTTGACGAGTTTTATGATTATAGCCGGTATATCGTTACACCCGGTCACTTTATAAGCGATACTCACTGTCTGCTGTAAATCGGTAGCCAGCGATTTTCTTCCGAATGGCGAGGGGTCCGGATAAGCGAGGTCTAACTGTACTAGAACTTTTTTCTTTTATCAGTGATTGCTCTAGCTCAGAGATTGCTCTAGCTCAGAGACTGCTCTTGGAGCGTGTTGTGAGAATGTGTGCTTATAATGCATGGCTACAGTGGAGTCTGCGCGTATTGAGAAACGTATTGAGAAACGTTTTATTCTGCCCCGCATCGGGCACGGGGTGTATGCTTGCCCCCTATAAATTTCGACCTAGGCTCAGCATGCACATAAGGACCATGAATGACATGCAACAGCCATCCTACACACATGCGGCTGTGCACCCCCCGCCCCCCTGAAACGGGGACCAGCATGCTCCTGGGATGTGTGGTTAGAATGGATGGCTAGATGGCTATGGCGCGTGTATGCGTATCTGCATCTCCCCCAGGCGCGTACGCAGGGTCACATCTGGGGGGGGGGGGGGGGGGGGGGGGGGTCAACCGAATCACAGACAACGAGTTTTCAGTTCTACTCAATCAATCTTCATAATCTTGGGCTTCCTGGAAGTGGAAAGGTATCCGGGAGAGGAAGAGAATGAGGTCAACCATGATAGCTAGGACACTGTACACGTATATCCAGCACTAGAGTGGAGTGACAGTGCGAAAAATGCCCCAAAGGCACAAACGTGTCCTGCTCCAGCGATTTCGTTTTTCGCGATCACAGAGTTTCGATTTTTGTTGTTGTGTACTCTTGAGATTATCACAAGTGAAGCCCCTGCAAATTTGAGCAAGTCAACGTGGCGAAAAGTCTCAAATTCTCGATACTCAAGTCGCACTGCGCGTTTTGGAAATAATTGCCGAGATCGCGGCTCAACTTACGAATGATATTATCTCACGAACCATTGCTCGCAGCGCTTCGCGAATTGTTTCTACCAACTGAGAGTTTTCTATTCGACCTGGATATTTGGATCGTTGGATTTGAGCGAGATTTGACTGAGTTAGATATACGATCTATTGAAGTTTTGCATTCTTGTCAGATCGATCGCGCGCCCTACTAAAAAATGCCCAAAAATATGCCTCTTTTGGAACATTTGGGGGTTTCCGGGCAAGGGGAAACCCCCCCTGCGTACGCGCCTGTCCCCTCACTCACTCTATCCACCTATCTCTCTATCTTCGACTTGATTTCTCTTGCCTCTATCCAGATGAAGACTATTCGATCACGGCGTATTCCGTAGCCGAGCACTTCTGCCTGCCAAACTCTACTGAAGGCGGCCCGAACACAACAAGAAAGAGAAGAACCCGCTGTCGGTAACGTACCTCTGCATTCACGCAGGCTTGCTCCAGCTACTGGGGTAGTATTGCTCCTGCTACTGGGGTAATACTGTTGAGTTGTTTTTGGGCACTGCCAGAGTATCGATATCAAACGTACAACTGTTAGCATATTGATACCAAACGTACAGCTGCTAAAGCATCGATACCAAGCGCACAGCTGTTAGAGCATCTATATCAAACGTACAGCTGCTAAAGCATCGATACAAGCGTACAGCTGTTAGAGCATCTATACGAAACAAACAACTGTAATTGCATCGATACCAAGCGTACAGCTGCTAGAGCATCTATACCAAACGAACAACTGTAATTGCATCGGCACCAAGCGTACAGCTGTTAGAGCATCTATACCAAACGAACAACTGTAATTGCATCGGCACCAAACATACAGCTGTAATTGGCGTTGATACCAAACATTCATGTGAATATCTCTACTGCCTGCGCCACCGTCGCTGCTCCTGCTGTTGCCATCCCGTCGCTGCTCCTGCTGTTGCCATGCCGTCGCTGCTCCTGCTGTTGCCATGCCGTCGCTGCTCCTGCTGTTGCCATGCCGTCGCTGCTCCTGCTGTTGCCATGCCGTCGCTGCTCCTGCTGTTGCCATGCCGACCCTGCTCCTGCTGTTGCAATGCCGACGCTGCTCCTGCTGTTGCCATGCCGACGCTGCTTGGTCGTCGTGACGCGTTACGCCGAGTGTTCATATTATGGCAGTGCTAACAGTGCAGTGTCCGTGTGCATGAGACACCACCGTGCTCTCTCTCGGTATACACACAAACAGGAGTTGCATGAGACACCACCGTGCTCTCTGTATACACACAAACGGGAGTTGCTCCGCGTGGTTCTGAGCTCATGCAGCACATTGACTCGCGAGAGTCAGGCAGCCTTTGGCCAATGAAGATCGTGTTTCCGGGGACTAAAAGCCAGTCGCTGTGGCCCGAACTTTCCGACCTCCACCCGTCTGATTCGATGCTGACCTACACATGTACACATACCGGACTGCACAGTGTCCTGATTCAGTTGATATTGAGTTGATTGATAGGATTATGTCTCCTGTGCTAAGTAAGGCCCTGAAGCTGAATCGCCGTCGACTTCCTTGCAGCGAGTGAGTCTGTGGACACGCAACGCGTACGCGTGCACGCACACCAGTACAGGGGCCGTGCAGAGCGCAGACAGTTGTTGTCCGAGTCTCAACTTCATCGCCGTTAGGCGGCGAACGGGCAGGTGCAGGCATACTTGCACACACATGCACACACACACGCACACGCACGTGCACGCACGCACACACACACACACGCACACACACACACACGCGCGCACACACACACACACACACGCACACACACACACACACATACAGCAGGCTGTGTGCCCCGTCGCCATGCGGGCTTGTGTTTGACTGCCGATTTGACGGGTTTTGCACCGTGCCGTACTCTGTCTCCTTGCAATGCATGCACGCTTCGCGAGGGCACCCGGTGGCTCCCGTTTGTTTGCTTGCAACGCTGCCACTGGTCATATGCTGCTAAAGATATGTTATGATACTGTTCAGTTGTACCTTCTCTCACGGTGTATTGTTTTCGGACTGTATCACATACCGGCAGTTTTACTTCATACGCGGTACTTGAGTAGAGCAAGCAATATCACACAACTCACAGAGCATCACATGTCATCCGATAGCTAGGAGTTTCATGCCCATAGGCAATCATCAGACAACTGATCAATAGCTCTATTCGAATGGATGTCGAGCACTGTACCGAGCCGGAGGACTCTCATTTGCAAACAATGTGATAATTAATTATTTTCATATTTATTTTCATTGAAGCGTATCATCAGGATTCCGGGGTCCACGACTTTGCTAATGCTGGATGGCTTGGATGGGAGGAGAGACAAGCGAGAAGAATTGGCAGTGAGGCAACCGAGAATAAAAAAAAAATCACTGTAAGATGCAGTCAAACAAGTTCAAACAACATGCGTGTGCATGGCGTGTGCATGGTCGCACTGAAGTGAGGGAGACGGATATACAGGACCGTATGCTCGGCAAGCGGTACCATTTTGAAGAATATTTTCAAAAGCAGTATGGACACTTCGTCTGTGGGACCTGCTGCACATACTGAATGCTCCTTGCGTTTGACAATAGCCTCAGCAGCAGCAACAGCAGCAATAGACTGCCCCTATTGCCTGAGCCATCATAGTACATGTAAGTGCATTACATGCTGGATCACATCAATCTTACTCTGATTCTTATGTGGGTATGTCACTATAAACTCATTAGCTTTTGTTCTGTATGTCTCCTCCCCCACCCCCACCCGTGTTTTATTGTGGGTCTCTCTTGTCCAAGCTGCAGCTCATTTCAAATTGTGTTAAAAAAACTTTAAAATATATAATTACCTGAGTGCTCGCAAGGCTGGCAGGGAAGCTACTGGTCTGCCCCCCTCCCCCAACATACACACCATGCACGCACATTCACAACACCCCCCCCCCCCCCCCCCTAACTCCGCACCAACCATGCGCCACCCATCTGTGGACGAATATACTTTAGTGCTACATTCCCGCAAAGGCCGAATCCGGCGACACCACTACCTGGCAACCTTGCCACGTCGCAGCATTCGAAAACGCATGCCTCTTTGAACACACGAGAACGCATTAATTATTTAAAAATTCTCCGGCCAGTGGTTGCTTGGCTAGTAAAATAGGAATAGGCATGGTCTATGCAGAACAAAAACGCAGGCAATACAGGTGCAAGCAAATCTAAAAAAGTGTGAACAGTTGTGCTGTGATACGCATAAAGACAGGGCCATAAACTACCTGCACGATTCTGTGCACCACTGACCGGGGAATTGCCAGCCATCGGCGCCATAGCTAATGGCGTTGACTAGCTGGAAATGTTCAAGCGTACACGAGAGAAGCTGTCTGGTGGACAGAGCACAACCGATAGGCGTACCTGCGGATCGAGCTCTCTGAATCGTTTCCGGATCACGGGTATCCAGGTATCTATACAATAGTGCGAAGGGATTTTCCCCTTCCTAATAAAAAAAACTGTGAGAACGCAGACGTATCAAACGACAAACGATGAGCAGTGAAATGAACAATGGACCCGTCTGAGACGGGTCTTGTGCGTGCACTACGTTATGCATGTTTACTGGTAGCGAGTGCATATGGAATGTGTGGTCCCCGGCCGTCAGGCGTAATTACCCTAGTGAATCTAAGAATTATCCCGACCGGGAGCCAGCAGAACAGAGTCGATGCCAAGCAGAGCTAAACTAGTCCGAACAAAAAAATGTTGTCATCTATGCTGGAACAAAGCAAGCGAACGAAATCATGTTCACTCGAGGTCTGAAATGCAACCCCATGCAGCGCAACTGCAGTGCAGGCGGCTATGGTGGCAGCGTTGAGCCGAGTGCTACTATGGCAACGCAAGCGGCGGAGCCTACGGCATTCAGAGACTCGATGAGGCTTCTCCGCTGTGTTCCAGTTCGACCAACACAGTGTCCACATGCCTCTCTATATGCAAGGTGTATATGCCGCCGGTATGCTAAAGCACTAGCTGCAGATGTCGGTGTCCCGGGCAACATCACTAGCGTCCCTGGTGCGGAGAGCAGTTGAGGAAAACGCCTCTGAATTTCCACTCCTTTGTGTCGCTCGGAACGGCTGCGTCCTTTCCGAATGTGACCAGCGTGGAAGCAGTTCCAAAACGGTTCTTCATACGCACCCTAACGTGGCAGGTCGGGTAAGTGGAGTTAGCGTTGACGTTATAGGCGTGCCTTTCGCGAAGCGAATGGCGACCCCTGGCGCACACCGAGCAGCATAGAGTTGGAAAACAGGCGCGTTCCAGCTGCAGAGTCTCGCTGATATGGTTGGAGCTCATCACGAAGATAGGCTTACTAGCACGGCAAATTTCACCCGACACGACTTTGTCACGCGGTCCTGTTGGAGAAAAATACGCGCGCGTTCACGCACGCACACACATACGCACATACATACGTGCGCACGCACGCACACACACACACACACACACACACACACACACACACACACACACACACACACACACTGATGTGTATAGGCGTGCATGTGCACAAGCAAAAGTAGTTGCATTGTACAGCAAGATAGCCCATGGCCCATTGATTGACTCGTTCGCAGCCATACCATTGTGCGGTATACAGCGTGGTACTGAAGAACATACCTGTGACTGTCAATTTGCAAGCAGTAGGGGACTGGCGATCTCGCTCTTTCATTGCTCACACTCGTTGTCGCCATTGGATTGTGAATGGACGTAGAGCGGGGAATATGCGCTCGTGGGCCTTTGCTTCGCTGGGCGACAGCTGGTCAATATCTACTGTACAGCAGTGTGCTGCTGTGCCCCACCGCCTTTTATTTGCTGAATCCGGGGTGTTTAAACTGCGGCTTAAACTCCGGAAACACGGCACTATTTTTTTCAATAAGAGAACATGCCTGAGAAAACCAGATAAAGGAAAATGAAATTCGTCTTTTTTCCGGGGCTTTGCACAGTCGATCCCCACCCCAAAGGAAACTTGCTTGCAACATTCGATCGAAATCGGAGAGATCACTTGCACACTTCGTCTGGTTTTCTCCAGCATGCTCTCGTAAAATGCAAATATCAGACAACCAGCAACTTGGCTTACCTAGGCGTATAAAACGACCATAGCCACCAACCACCGTCAGTGTTCGGGACTTTCTTCTTGTTCCCTTGTGCTCCCGCACCTCAGGGTCCACTTTGAACTCGGGCTGCCCTGTGCGTGTGATGAGAGAACGAAATCCAATGTGTAATACTGTGATTTGCACGTGCTGGAGGTTATCGGTATTATTACTGAAGTATTAGGTACAGTCATGTGGCATTAGCCAATGTAAATATGATGTAAAAAAGCAATGAGTAAAACTAATAGTGCACTCATAACCATGTGCCTGTATAAAACAATTATTAAAATGAAATTTTTAAAATTCAAGAACGTTTGATGATGGTCACAAGAAAACGTTCTGGATTTTTTCACGTCAATAATCGTTTTATTCAGTCTTGTACATGGTTATGAGTGCAAAATTAGTTTTATTCATTGGTATTTTACGACTATTGTCTCCTCTTAGGTTATTAAATATGATGTGGGTGATTATTACTGACCACTTAGCATCTGTTAAGATCAGGGAGTAGTAAACCCTGGTTGACATGCTTCAGCAAAGACACAGCACAGCGATGCGTGACTAGTGATTAGTGACTCGCTAGAATCTCTCGCCGTATACATGTCGCCTGCTAGTGGTTCCACTGACTCATGCTGCGTACACAGCGCCCATGAGCGATTGTCACTTTTTCATTAAGTGATCCTTTGAAAGACACACTGCAGAATATTGAGAATCGGCATGTGAGTGCTCCAATACAATGCCTGCCAGCTGCGGGCTTTACCACATCTCTCTGCTCTCGGGCTGTTGCCATGGATACCATGGTGGTGTAGATGCCCTACGTATTCGTATTGGCCACTAATCATGAGTGATTTACAACAGGTAACAGTGGTGGCGGGGGTGGGGGTATGGCCTGCATAATCTGCATGTGGTCCACGATAGGAGGACCTGGAGCAAGTGTGTGCGAAGTTCGCTTCTCTCGCCCACAGGACTTGCCTGGAATTTTGATCTCCAGTCGGCGGCTTTGGCACAGCAGCTTGCAGCTAGGCAACGCCGTTGTCTCGCCTGGTGTGCTGTTGCCGTGGTGAGACTGCTGCTGCTGTTGCCGCTGTAGGGCTCCAGCTTGTTCGCACTCCTCCAGCATATGGTTTCTGGCTGCAGCGCATGGTCTTCGCACGGTGCCTGTGCAGACGATACAGAAACACAGCCAGAGTGCTGTTTGTGTTACAGTACTACTGTCGGTCCGGGGGGGGGGGGGGGGGGGGGGGGGCAGCCTCGTAGCCCGTCCATTCTTATCTTCATACATGTATACGCATACATGTACTGGTCTATGCACGGTTGAGTCGCCGTGTAGACATCAGTATGCTGTGCTTTGTGAAATTCCAGCCTGTCCGTTGTTCGGTGCCCGGCAGTGCTGTACCAGTAGGTCCAGCGTTCTTTCAAACAAACAAACCGTTAAACAGAGTGTTGACCCTATCGAATAACACCATTTATTGGTGTACATTGAGCAATAATGAGGCAATGTCAATTCACAGTGTGCATCGACACAGCAGAACCTGCAGCCTGACATATTATTCACGTCTACCCGCTGGCATGCCGCTATCCCCCCCCCCCCCCCCCCCCCCAATCTATACTCTCTTGTATCATCATCCTTCAATGCGACGGACACCCGATAGACGGTCAGCCTTTGGGTCATCCTAATAAAGTTATTATTTAATTTTAATTATGTTGGATGGCACATGGTCGTCAATCTCCTGTACAGCACTATACTAGCGATGACTCATGGTGATTAATCTCCTGTACAGTACTATACTAGCGATGACTCATGGTGATTAATCTCCTGTACAGTACTATACTAGCGATGACTCATGGTGAATAATCTCCTGTGCAGTACTATACTAGCGATGACTCATGGTGAATAATCTCCTGTACAGTACTATACCAGCGATGACTCATGGTGATTAATTTCCTGTACAGTACTATACTAGCGATGACTCATGGTGATTAATCTCCTGTACAGTACTAAACTAGCGATGACTCATGGTGATTAATCTCCTGTACAGTACTATACTAGCACTTACCAGCTTGTATCCATATGACTGCCGAGGTTGTTCCCTTAGGAATGACCACCTCCCGCTTGATATGCCGTGAGGAGTGGATCATCATGCCTGCAGAGGACAATGTGTGTGTGTGTGCGTGCATGCGTGCGTGTGTGTGCGTGTGTGTGTACGTGCATGTGTGAGCATGTATATGCATGGTTGCAAAACACACGTATCTCTGCATTAGATTGAATGATGTCATAAACTTTCTTCGCTCGGAGCCATTGCATAATTAGGCCTGGGAGGTGGCTTGCTGGTGGAGCCTACTTGAACGTCATGTGTGGCTTTCACGTAAACCACCAACAACACTGCCACGATATGCCCAGTGCTGCTCAATGAAATCCAGTCACAGCGTCACTCAAGTACGAGCCCTAGACCGGTGAACACTGGGCTGAGAAACCGTGCAAGGCGCAAACTTAAGTGATGCAACTAGATTTCCTTGAGCAGGACTGTAGATGAAGCATACCCCCCCCCCCCCCCAACACACACACACATGCGCAGTCCTGCTCAATGAAGTTCGGTCGCGTCAGTCAAGTCTGCGCCTTGCGTCTCTTTGCAGCCCAGTGTTTGCAGGTCTGGAGCTGCGCAACGCCCGGCGCGTACTTGACTGACGGGATCTCCCTATGCTGGATTTCATTGAGGCGCACTGAAGGCTAGGTTCATGACTTTATTACTGTAACGTTCACTCACAGCAAATACTATTCAATTACTTACCCATGCTTGCCTGCTTGCTCAGCTCATAGCAATCTGTTCTACGAACATACCGGTTTTGGAGGAATGCGACTTTCGCAAACACATTGATGTTTGCTCGCACTGCAGGCGGCGAGTCGTCTGAAAGAGAGAATTCAAAAAGCATATTGAAATTGCAGTCGGTCGTGCAATGTGCATCGCGCGCGTACATGCTCCAATGCGCACACATGCGCGCGCGCGCACACACACACACACACACAGATGCCACACACGCAATCGTGCCAAAAGACCTGGTGGATGCTGAGTGCTCCACAAGATTGTACATGACATGATCATTACCTTTGAGGCGGGGGGGGGGGGGGGGATCAACCCCCGCCCCGGGGGAGGGGTGACCAAGAAGAGAACCGTTGTGGGGGTTGTGTGGGTGGGGGTGGGGGGAGGCTTGACAAAATAAGAGAATCGTTGTGGCACAAAGAACTGTCTCCGTATCTTTGTAAACTGATTTGGGGAAGAGGGAAGTGGAACAACTCCACTCACTCGCACAACACTTTCAGACATACTCTCACCTGTCAAGATAATGGAGGCGGCAATTGTCAATCGATTGCTCCCGGTTATGCCCAGCTTAGGGGTTATCGTCAAGTGGCGCGTGTCATTTGCCACTAGTGGTCCCCATGTGCTGGGGCGTTCACACAGCCCAACAGCTTTCAGTCTGCCGTCTGGCCAGGACTTGATCGGGTCATCGCCAGCCACCTCCGTAGGACAACCTTCTGCTAATAACATCATCCAGCGTGTGTGTTCAGTCACCCACATGAACACACAAATGTGACACGCACACACACACACACCACATTCATGCACACACATACAAGAAACGTGACAAAGAGATTCCAGGGTGTCCAATAGAGTGACCAGCAGAGCTAGTTGCAACAACAGTAAGAGGGTTTAAACAGTGTTTTACTCTTGAGTTCCACGCACGAAGCGATCACCAAGAAAGCATACAATATTTTAATTGCATGTGCGCACAGTCTTGCTCTTCAGCACTTCACTCGCATCCCTACTCCGTCGCGTGATGGGTTCTTTCTTACGATCATAGAGAGCCAGTAATTCTTCAAGAATATTTTTTGGTTCAGTGCCAATTTCCGGTAGTTTTTCGATCAATAATCCCTGCTATGTCGGTAGTGACCCTAGTTTTCTGGTAAAATACCGGAAAAACCGGTATGGTTGGCAAGTATGTACAATGTAGATCTTGCACCATGCGGATATGTGGTCAACTCGATGGAGCCCACTGAATCGAAGTGACGGTTCTTCTTGGATCAGACGAGACCATTGCACGCATGTAGATAGCTGCACCGGAAGAGATCACCAGCAACACTCCACGGACGAAAGCAGTTACTCCTGACACGCTTTTAAATTGTTTGTTACATGAAAGATCGCGGGAACTCATCAGGTGAGAACCAGTTGTTGCATGGATAATGAAGGTTGAGCGTAGTAATACGTTCTATATTGCACGTCAGATATTTGGAGCAGTGTGCGTACACTAACGCATAATGATGGTGGCCAACTAACAGACGCGGAGTGGTCTTGACCGGAAGTAGCCCTATTACACCCTACTAGAGACAACTACTAGTTCTAGCATCACAAGTGCCAAGCCAATCACGAGGAAAAAAGAGGTACACAAATAGGGTAAAATCCGTTAAAAAAAGAAAGAAAGAGGAAAAACACAGTGAAACGAGTTCTGAAGCAACTATCCACGACTGTGACAGTGTAATAAGCAGTCAGAAAGTGCGTTAACAGGGCACAACACTGACAGGCTACTGAGACCTGTACATTTTGCCAAATTATTAGAGACCCACAACCCCCTCCCCGGAATCCGCGCCCATGCACCGTGTGGAACGGAACGAAACAAGCTTACCAGGAGTACAATATTATTTAGTAAGTTCTTGCTGTCGTGGTGTGTTGCTGGTGAATTGTTCGAAAAGAAGAACCATTACTATGGATGGACGAACGCTAGTAGTACGCTCTTCAACGTTTCCCTTCTGGAGCAGGATAAATGATCCAGCGTCAGCAGAACGCACAGCAGCCCATGGCGTGTAATGCCGGCAGAAAACCTGGCAGAATTTAGTGCTTTTCGGGTATGTTTCATGCATGTTTGCTTTGTGGATAAAGAAATGGAGCAGGATTCAAGTGGTGGTGGTGGTGATGGTGGTGGTGGTGGTGGTGGTGGTAGTGGTGGTGGTGGTGGTAGCGGTGATGATGATGATAGTGCTGGTGGTGATAGTGCTGGTGGTGCGGGAATCATACAAGCGCCAGCACCACAGCTTTTTAACACGCTGCCATACCCTTAGAGTACGTTGATGTGTACGGTGTCTTAAGTTGCTGTTTGTTTGTTATTTTATTCCATAATTAGTATTGTTCCTGTTTGTTTGGGTTTTGGTCATTTTCTCTATGAGGTCTTCTCCGATTGGTGGCCCCAAACTCATTGTGTTCCACTGCAGTTTGCGTTCCTTTTCATTGAGTTCCAGTGCACTTTGTGTTCATTTTCCTTTGTTTTCATTCTAATTGAATTTTGATGTATTGCGTTTTTGCTTGCCCGTACAAGAGGCTGTTCCATGTTAGTGGTGGTGGTGGTGGTGGTGGTGGTGGTGGTGGTGGTGGTAATGATGGAAGTGGTGGTGGTAGTGGTGGTGGTGGTGGTGGTGGAATGAAAGCTTTTAAAAGAAATTTCAGTGGTGCTGGCGATGGCTGTGGAGATGCTGCTGATACGGTAATGGCGGCGGTGCTGTTGCTGGTGGTGTGGTGCCGGTGGTGAAGGCACAGTTTTCCCTGCTCTTCCGGGTGTTGTGTGCGCATTCACAGGTAGCGGCTCAGTGTTACCTGCCGTTTTGTTGTTGGATTTGGTTTGCCCGGGTTGCGGGCCAGCGGGGACACTGTCTTGCCTTGCAACGGACAGGCCGCAAGCCCGGCGGAACCGGTCCGGTCGATCAGGCACTGGCCGGACCAGCATTTTGACCACCGATATGTGTTTAAGGCTGAGGAGGTCATGCCTGCCTGCCAGTCATATCCCTACTCAAAGTATGACGGACCATGGCATGGCCGGACCATACAGTCCAAAACTGCTTTCGCTGGACATGCAGTGAATGGATCATGCAATGTAAAGCGGACTTGGAACCACGGTTGACAACAAAAAGACGTGACTCCTAGAGATTAGTGACGAGTAGGTTTGTGTGAACCTGAACCGGGATGTTCACGATGACTCCAATTCCTTAGAACAGAAAAAGGGCCACGTAAAGCATGAGCTGATTGTTTAGTAGCTGCTGGTGGTGTTAGCGTAACTTGTGGTTCCTTGGTCCTTTTTCTTTTCTATAGATCCTTGCTGTACGTGCCCCGAGGCATGGCACCAATGCAAGCTGATGCTTCCCGGGCGAGATAGCCACCCTAAGAGACATGCCCGCCCGAATGGTGATGGCTGACAGACTCGCGTGGCTCGATAGTCCAGACGCGCACGCTGCAAGGAATCCAATTCCTTGTCAGGAGACAAGATTCGCTCATTCTACCAACAGAGAATGATGTTGCAATCGCCCGGCATGTGATGATACATGTGACAGTGGACGTACATGTATAAGTAGTTATCTGATGGCATGTGATTATACATGTGCCAGTGGACGTATAAGTAGTTATCTGATTGCTCCGCCATATCTGGTGACAGTTGCATCATTACTAAGCCAGGGATCCTGTCACTACTTTGCACGTTTTTGTTGATGATGCCATTGCTGCCGTGAAGGTCACGCAAAGTACGTGTGCCTGTGAGTGTGAGCAGCTCCCGCAGGCTGCACCCTGTACACGCCACGGACCCGTACACCAATCAGCCTGGTACATGTATATGCCTAACACTAATGCGCGTCAAAGCCGGGGCTCTGCCAATCGGTGATGCTTGTAGTCAGCACTTTTTTTTACCACAGTGCGTCCTCGTCCTTGTAACATGCTGTCAACTGACCACCAAACAATCTGTGGCCGGCTGGTGGATGCAGACATGCAGAGTACCAACTCAGTTTAGCATTGTGGAAACCTCGAGAAGTAACACTAACAGAGCAGCTACACAGTGATCCGTCGAGACTTTTCCTTGCGCCAGTCACAAACCCAACGCATTGGATACGTGTAGAGGGTGTGTGGAATGAGACCGGAGAGCAGAGGCGAGGGAGCACAGTTCTAACTCAGTTTAAGATGATAATGATGCATGGTGCTGCAGAGTGCAGATGTCACAGTCTGTGCCGGTGAGGCAGTGTGAAAACTGTGCTGGTGCCTTGAAGTGGTGGTAGCGTGGTCCAGCCTGATTGTGACCATTTTTAATGTGTGGCCAGTACATGAGTGTGGTCTGCTTTTCTTTGCAGAGAGGTATGGGCTACGGAAGGGTCTACTGTACACCTCATGATGAGCACAATCACGCCACTAGTAGGACTACCCAACTCCTACAGTGTCTAATCATGTCACCAGCTGCACGACCAAGTCATTCATATACATGTACATGACTTTGTATACATGTACATGCACAGCTGATATGGGAGGCAATTGTCTTCAGCATGCTTGATGGTGTGTCACACTCACCATGTACCGTGTACACACAAGGAACACGGATAGAGTGATCAACACACTGCCGGATATCATGATGTGGAATTATGATTCAGTGTACATGTAGTTCGTATTACGATGCTGTGAAACGTATCCAGCCACTGTGCTCCGCATGCATTGTGTATCCTTCTATACACTGTCTTTGAAGCCATGGTTTCGGATGAGCAAAGCCGCGGAGCCAGCATGCAAGACTGACCTCGACAGAAACGTACTACATGTATTAGTATAACCGGTACATGTACATGTAGTGATTCATGCACGGGCACAGTGCCATAGCACAGTCCTGCTTGATGAAATCCGATCAAGCAGGTGGATGCCAAGCCTTTCGTCCTAGACCTATGGACGCTGGGAGCGTAAACTGTTGCAGTGTGCAAACGTGACTGAAATGTCGGATTTCATTGAGCAGCATGACTGCACTTTGTCCTGGTACCGTGCTTCTCCTAGTTTTTGACAGCGTGACGCTTGGCCGGGCTGGCCAGCTCTCATGATGTCTCAACTTCTTCAAATCGTGTGACACCCGCTACGGCCAATAATGCAGAGTAAGTGCGTTTGTCACACGCTCCCCGGATTTAGTCATTGGCTCCTTGTATCATGCTTTCAAAGTCACGTGTATAGTAGACAATACGAATAGTACGATGCACAATGCTTTTGTTACCTCGCTGATCACGGGAAGTCTCCGAGGCGCCGAGCGGAAGCCAAGCTGGACGATGTGACCTTGATCATCGGGCATCTCGTTAGCGACATCACGGCTAAAGCACTGGTACTACTAGTAGTAGTGTTGAAGAAGTAATACTAATGTTCAAAGGTCATCACTATGGTCAAAGTCTATGGTAAGATAAATGTACTTGTAACCGGTACCGTCAGCACACTGTCGAGTCTGCCTACATATCAGCATTGCTCTGACCGCTGTAGTCAAAGCGTTTGGCGTAGTGACGGTACGCATCTCCTCTCCCTCTTTGTCTACTCGTATAATATTATTGCGACAGAGGGAATTATCTCCGGGAGTCTTTTCCGCTTAGTTTTTTTCGTCTCTCAACTGCTTATGAATGAATCCCTTATCCCGTATGCCACGTAGTGTCCAGTAGAGAGCGTTGAGCGTGACAGAAACAGGACAGGATGAGAAGATTAGCAGCCATAACATCTA